TATAATCCCAGCTTGGGAAGCTAAGGTGGGAGGATCGCTTGAGTCCAGGAGATTGAGGCTGCAGTGGACTGTGATCACACCACTGCACTGCAGCCTGGGCAACAGAGTGAGAACCTGTCTCAAACAAACAAACAAACAAACAAACAGAAACAAAAAACTGTCACTGTCAAAAGCTATAGTGAATTCAGTTAGTTAAAAACTGAAAAGCATCCAATGGGTTTAGCAAATATGAAGTTATTGGTAACTTTGGCAAAGGCAAGTTCAGAGGAATGGTGAGAGCAAATGCCAGATAGAGCTGTGTTTAGGAGTAAAATGCAAGAAGAAGAAGAGAAGCAAATGTGGACTATTCTTTTCAAGCAGCTTGGCTATAAAGAAGTAGAGATTGGGAGCTAGAGAGGGGCACAGGGTAGAAGGAGAGACTGAAGCATGGACATGAGAGGAAAAAAAGATCCACCAGAAAGAAAATAAAGACAGAAGAGAGAGAGGAGGCAGGCAGGGCTGAACTTCAGAGCACAGGTCTTAGGAGAAAGGAGTCTCCTTCCTTTGAAGGAAAGAAGGAAGGATGGCAACAGAGACAGATGGAATGGTGAAAGATAAGTCTGACAGAGCTCTCTGGTCCCTTTCCATATATCCACTCAATGTCTAGTGGTATTGATCAAGCAAAGTGCCCAAACCAGGCTTGCCTGATTTCCTGATGAGTCATTCTCCCTTCCTGTCTGTCTTGCCTTCAGTATCATCCCTATCTTGGGCAACAGGGGTAGGCTGAAACTCTTTAGACACTTTTTCTTTTTCTTTTTTTGAGATGGAGTCTTGCTCTGTCGCCCAGGCTGGAGTGCAGTGGCGCGATCTCGGCTCACTGCAAGCTCTGCCTCCCGGGTTCATACCATTCTCCTGCCTCAGCCTCACGAGTAGCTGGGACTACAGGGGCCCGCCACCAAGCCCGGCTAATTTTTTTGTATTTTTAGTAGAGACGGGGTTTCGCCGTGTTAGCCAGGATGGTCTCAATCTCCTGAGCTCGTGATCCGCCCACCTCAGCCTCCCAAAGTGCTGGGATTACAGGCATGAGCCACCGTGCCCAGCCATCTTTAGACACTTTCATGAACCCTGGTCACTTTCATCAGTCCTGTTCCTCTAATCCCATGACTTTTGCACTTCCCTTTAACTATTTGCTGCCTGGGGTCCCCAGACAGATGAAGCAATGTGTGAGCATGGAAGAAGACACCGAATTAATTCTGAGAAAGGAGCATCTTTAACAAATCCTCTCTCATCCTATGATGTCACCCCGTATCACTTATGGTCTTCACTATCCACGAAACTCTTGGTTGAAGGTGGTCCTGTTTGTCCTCCCATTACTTGAGATCACCATTCTCTCCTTCATCAATAACAGGTCTTTATTAAATGACTACTGTCTAGGTTGCCAAGATTTTCCATCTTAACAGAGAGAGTATACCTGTATGTATGTGATATATATAGTGTGTAAATATATACACATGCATATATATATACACACATAATAAATAAAAACAATACCACAAGGTAGCACAAACTGCAAAGTGAATAATATAGGCAAAACAGCTATTAAGCTTGAATCTGGGGCCTTGAAATAAGAGAAAGCTTCAAGGGTGTAGTGTGAAGTAGGCCTTTCATAGAAGGAAGGGTAGGTTTAAATAATAAAAGAAGGAGAATGTTGCGGACAACTTGGCAAAGACCAAGATACGTGCTTGACAATGTTTAGGGAATAACTAAAAAGCAGTTTTAGGAATCTATTGAGGAATCCAGGTATTATCCTACAAAAATGGGGAGCTACTGAAGGTTTTAGAATGAAGACTGACTTGTATCATGTTTGTATATGTTTTTACAATCAATTTGGAAGAACTGTGTAGATCAATAAAAAAATAAAGGGCAGGGATAATTCAGACACTACTGTGATACTTAAAGTGAGGGTGATAAAGAGCTATAGCATCTTAAAAAGTGTATGCAGTGAGGTGTTGGCAGTGGGGATGGAAAGAAATTGGTGTCTGCCTAGATATGGAACAAGAGCAAGGAGGCCAGCAGCACTATAAGGTTTCATGCAGGAGGGAAAGGAGAATGATGATACTCTGGAGAGAATCAAATAGGAAAATTCAGAGAGTGCAGTTCAGCGAGCAAAGAAGCTCAGTGAAGTTTATGCTATGTGAGACTTGGTGATAGGAACACATTTGAGTGCAGATTTAGAAATCTACGACAAGAGCTCAGGGGAGACATCAGTACTGGAAGCGCTGGTCTGGGAATCATTCACATAAGAGGAAATGTAGATGCAAAGGTAGGAGATAAAGTGGAGGAAGGGGAACTAGTGAGGATGGAGGGTGTGAGAAGCAGCCCAAGAGATAGAAGACTAGGAGAGTAGAGTATTTCAGAAGTCAAGGAGGAGACAAGTTTTAAGGATGAGGAAGTACAAAAAATGGTAAATACTAAAGAGATTGCCTATTGAGAAAAGGCCAGCAATATGGTCACTCATGATCTACAAGAAAGTCTCCATAGGAAAGAGGGGAGGAATAAACGGGTGGTGATGGTTATAAAAAGATGACGAAAGCAGACAGTGAGACCACTCTTTTGAGAAATATAGCGGTGAGAACCACCACCGTTAATACGTTGAAGAGGAGCTAGATCAAAAGATGATTTTCTTCCCCTTTCAGGACTTCATCAGAACTCTTGGCAGAAAAATGGACTGAATAAAACATAGGAAGAATAAGGTTTTGAGGAAGCAGGAGAGGTTGGGATAAAAAGCAAAGATCTTGAGGAACTAATCTTGGCACTAAAGAATGGCAGTCAGGAGAGGTACGAGAGGAGGTGTGAGGAATCAAGGATTTTTTAAGTAGAAAGGCGAGGCAGTTCTTCAGACAGCCTTGTTTTTCTCATCAATGGAAGGGAATTAGCTGCAGCATGTGTGAGGGATTTGATGCTTAAGAAACTGAGAAAGGAAAGGTGGAGGTGGCCAGGCGTGGCGGCTCACGCCTGTAATCCCAGCACTTTGGGAGGCTGAGGCGGGTGGATCACCTGAGGTCAGGAGTTCAAGAGGAGCCTGCCCAACATGGTGAAATCCAGTCTCAACTAAAAATTCAACAAATTACCCGGGTGTGCACACCTGTAATTCCAGCTACCCAGGAAGGTGAGGGAGGAGAATCGCTTGAACCCTGGAGGTGGAGGTTGCAGTGTGCCAAGAGCCTCCCATTGCATTCCAGCCTAGGCAACAAGAACGAAACTCAATCTCAAAAAACAAAACAAAACAAAAAACAAAAGGAAAGGTGAGGTAACCCGGATATAATCTTAGATATGGCATCAAAAGGTTGTGTTTAAGTTCCAGATATGTTAACTTGGGCTGGCCATCCAAGAGCTGGCAAGACCTCTTTAAGGCCATTTCCTTACAATATTGTTAAAGGTTAAATGAGATACGGCTAAATGAGATACTGCACGTGTAAATTATAAAGCACTTCTCAAACAAGAGAAGTTTGAAACTACCACCACAAGAAATGTGATACAGCATGAACAAGAGATGAAGTAAAGCACAGTCAAGCAGCAGGGAGGGTAAAGGTGAAGTTCAAAGCAAGAATATACAGCAAACCCAAGTCCACACAGTTTTTGTGACTTCCTCCAGCCTACTGGAGACGCGAATGCAGATTTTGAGAGCAGATGCAAGAAGCACAAGAGGCTGAAAAAAATCTAGGTAAGGACTATTTAAAAATCTTTGGGGATATGCTTAACATTTGGAACTTACTTGCACATTTTATATAAAGGTGGCATTTGACTCATTGGCGTGTTTTATTTTGGAAATGGCTAAACATTTCAGTTTTATATTTTACAGCTTTTTTTCATATTTTTTCATATTTCATATTTTTCTTTTTCAGATTCCATATTTTTAAAAGCTTAGGCTCCAGACGCTACACCTATAGCATGAAACGGATAATGAAGGCATCAGTGAAACAGCCGCCCACTGGGTCCAAATTAAGTAGGGAAGGTCATGAACAAAGAAAGCAGTGAGGGCCCAGTAGACAGGCTGACGCGACTGGAGATAAGAACAGGTGGAGGGGAAGGGAGCAGCTGTTTCCATTTTTGGAATTTTGGAGAATCAGGAGACGCCCGGTAAGGCCAGAGAAGGAGGCCGTGTAATTATAAAGTTAAAGGGGTCGGACGTGTTCATCTTCCAAATTAGTTTTGAGCCCACAAAGGGCTTGTCCCTCACTGCCACCGTCCATTGTCCCATTGTGACCAGGTAGGAGCCCTCCGTGATTGACTGATAAAAACAGCGGGTCCATCTCGCTCAGCTCGTTTCTGTTACACAGAAATGTGGAATCCTGGGTGACATTCAACTCCTTAGGTCATCTGCATTCTCCCCGGACGGAGAAACAAAGCCTTCCCGAGCCCAACAAGGAGGATGGCGCTGCCCAGGCCGGTCGAAGTAAGCCCTCCATTCCAGACCTCGGCTCCACGGTCTCCCAAACCGGTTCCTGGAACGCGAGCCTGAGATGCCCTCACCCCCGGAAAATACCCAAAGCCAGGGAGCCGCGGAAGTGCTTGTACCCAGCACGCTAGGCGTGATGGACCTGTGAGTTACAATAAGCGCCGGAGGACAGAAGGGAGCCTCGCAGCCTTACACCGGCGTGGAGCAGGAACGTCTGGCGCCCCCGAGCGGCCAAGACCTCAGGAGCCAGAAAAACGTCTCCCACTCTCAGCACGGGGCCAACTGACAGTGCCATCCACCAATGGGAGAGCCCAGTCTGCGTTCGTGGGACCAGTCCGAGGCCACAAAGAGGGCCGTCCCGGCAGCAAATCAGCGTGGCTTTTAAAGAGGCCCTGATGCCTCTCTGGTCACCACAGAGATAGAGGGACAGTCCCTGTGAAACGGTGACGCCGACTACACTATGCCGCTTGTTCCCAGCCTTCGCCTTTTCCTCCCGCCGCACTCCAAGCCCTTCGGCCGCCCCGCCCACGACCTTGTCAGGTCCCGCCCCCCGCGTGAGTGGACTGGCGAAGATGTGGAATTACCAAAACTTATTGGATGCTTAGTGGCGTCACTCTGGAGGGCGGTGGGGCCCGGAGCGGCGAGGGCCGCCCCTCTCGGACGGTGATTGGACTCGCCGGAGTAGACCGGGTTGGGATTGGTGTGAGGAGGGGCGAGAGCCCGCGGGCGTCCTGGGTCGAGGCGAGGGGGAGGCGGTGGTCACCGAGAAGCCGGCAGGGGCTTGCAAGTCCCTCGTCCGGCGCGCGCCCTTCGCAGAGGGAAGGAGCAGGAGGGCCCCTACCTCATCGTGCGCGGGCGGGGTCGGCGCTTGTCGCGTGTGGGGCGCAGTGGGGCGGGCGGCGGGAGGGGGGGTGGCCGTGGAGGGAGCGAGAGATGCAGGAGTGACTTTGTTGGCAGCAGGACTAGCTGTAGAGCTAGACCTGGAAGCGCATCCGGGGAGACTTACGGGGCAGAGGAGGGCGTGGGCGTGTCTGGTATGGGATGCAGTGGAAAGGAGGGGGCCCTCCTGATTAGGTCTGTGGGTGGTTCTTTTGAGGAAGCCTGGTCTTCCCGTCTGCCCTTTTATTTGTCAGCGAGGGAGTCCCCATGGTCTCTGTTCAAGTTCTGGAAACTTTCTCTTTGGGTGGGCTTAATCATCTCCTACTACATCGTAGAACTGCCCAGGGCCCTTTCTGATACTGGTCACAAACGTGGGGAGTATGTCAGAAAACAGAAAGCCGCTGCTGGGCATTGTAAGCAAACTCCCTAATGGGACTGCACTTGGAAACTCAGGCAAGACTCACTGCCCCTTGTGCTTGGGGCTTTTCAAAGCCCCCAGGCTCTTGCCTTGTTTGCATACAGTTTGCACCACGTGTCTGGAGCAGCTGGAGCCCTTCTCAGTAGTGGACATCCGAGGGGGAGACTCTGACACAAGCTCTGAGGGGTCAATATTCCAGGAACTCAAGCCACGAAGTCTGCAGTCGCAGATCGGCATCCTCTGTCCGGTATGTGATGCTCAGGTGGACCTGCCCATGGGTGGAGTGAAGGCTTTAACCATAGACCACCTGGCCGTGAATGATGTGATGCTGGAGAGCCTGCGTGGGGAAGGCCAGGGCCTGGTGTGTGACCTGTGCAACGACAGGGAAGTAGAGAAGAGGTGTCAGACCTGCAAAGCCAACCTCTGCCACTTCTGCTGCCAGGCTCATAGGTAAAGATGGGGCATTGCACCCGGTGTAGCTTAAGAGCAGATTACAAAGGTGTCAAGACAGAAATCCCTTGGTGAGCAGATGAAAAGGAAGGCCTTCTCAAATACTGTGGAAGGTCAAAGAGCAATATAACGATGCAGTAGCAAATACTCTAGTACAACAGTTAACCCGGTCAGCCTAATATAGTACCTGTAGCAATAGCAATGGAGGTTTTCATAATCCCTTTCAATTTACAAAGTGCAGCTACAGTTTCCTTCAATCATCAATCATTCATGTAGTGAATAATTGTACTGGGTGCTGGAGAAATAGGAGAATGAATATAATAGCATAGATCCTGCTCTTTATCTCCTTTGATCTTGCAACTCTTGCAGAAAAGCAGGCCCTGTTTTCACCCCCATTTATTAACTGGGGAAACAAGGTCAGCAATATTTGATTTGCCAAGGTCCTACAGTTGGTGAGTGTGTAACAGAACTGAGTATTAAATCCAGATCATTCTGACTACATTCCACTAACCCATGCTACACTCCTAGAATAGGTGGTGATTGGCTGGACCTCAGCTTTTGCTTTGTACCTTAGAGTTACTCTGGAGGTTGGTGAGGTGGGCGGGTATTAATTGGGGTGTTAATTTGGGGTGCAGACTACGTCTTTTATGGCATTTGGTGAATAGTTTGTCAGATGGATCATTTTGTCCCTTCTTACTCTACCTTACCCCATCCTAGGACACCAGAATATAAAATGACCACAGTTTTAGGATTAGCCTAAAATAGATTTTGGGTTCTAACTTCCATTTGTTTTCTGGCTACACTAACAGAACAAGTTTGTAGACTTCACTCTATTTTTAACTTGTAATTATGTGATAGTCCCTGCAACTGTCTTGCAGCCAGCCAAACCAGCTGACCCTATTTTCTCTGCAGCCACTCTTCTGGTGCCAGAATAGGCATATAAGCTTGAAATTGATATAATGCTAGTGGAGGAACTCTGAACAGTCACCATGTTTTCCTAGGGATTTCCCTACATCTCTAGAGGGCTACTACAGGAAAGAAATTAGAGAGCTTTGATTCTACTAACCATCGGTTTCACACTTTTTTTTTTTTTTTTTTTTTTGAGATGGAGTCTCACTCTAGTCGCCCGGGCTGGAGTGCAATGATGCAATCTCCGCTCACTGCAGCCTCCATCTCCTAGGTTCAAGCGATTCTCCTGCCTCAGCCTCCGCAGTAGCTGGGATTAGAGGCACACGCCACCACATCTGGCTAATTTTTTGCATTTTTAGTAGAGACGGGGTTTCACCATGTTGACCAGGCTGGTCTCAAACTCCTGACCTCAGTTGATCTGCCCACCTCAGCCTTCCAAAGTGCTGGGATTACAGGCGTGAGCCACCGCGCCCGGCCGGTTTCATGCTTTCTAATAATGTTGACGATGTCTCTTGAAAAAAATTCTAGCCTGTTGATTTGGGTAATATAGGTACTGGTCAACAGAAATACTTCACCAAAATCTTAGATGCAAGCTAGATGAGACTTGGTATCAGGATCAGCTATCTGCTGTTTAATTGCTTGGACTTTATTACTGTGTTATCTGGCATGGTTTCTGTTTCTTGGTGCTAGTTTTCTGCCATGCCCTCGCTGCTAGCTTACCTTAGGAAGCCGACTGTGGCTCTTGTCTAAACTCTTTGGGGAAAGTCCTAGCATGCAGTCATAGCCTTGCAACCTTCTACATAGACATGTGGCAAGCCAGAGCTCTAGTCTGTTCACATGTTATTCTATACAGCAGCTCCTGCAAGTAGGGATTGTCTCCACTGTACAGACAAGAAACTGGAATCAGAAAGGATCATGCAATTAGAGATTAGAGCAAGGAACTGAAATCAAGTTTGTTTAACTTCAGAGCCTGTGCTCCTGAAATACCTCTGCCCAACTATTCCCAACTAGAATTACTCCCTTATTTCCTGTTATTGACTCTCTTTGCCCCTAGGCGGCAGAAGAAAACGACTTACCACACTATGGTGGACCTAAAAGACCTGAAAGGCTACAGCCGGATTGGGAAACCCATCCTGTGTCCTATTCATCCTGCAGAGGAACTGAGGCTGTTCTGTGAGTTCTGTGACCGGCCTGTGTGCCGGGATTGCGTGGTGGGGGAGCATCGGGAACACCCCTGTGACTTCACCAGCAATGTCATCCACAAGCATGGGGACTCTGTGCGGGAGCTTCTCAAAGGTACTCAGCCCCACGTGGAGGCCCTGGAGGAAGCCCTGGCTCAGATCAACATAATGAACAGTGCCCTGCAGAAGCGAGTGGAGGCAGTGGCAGCTGATGTCCAGACATTCTCGGAGGGCTACATTAAGGCCATTGAGGAGCATCGGGACAAGCTGCTGAAGCAGCTGGAAGACATACGAATCCAGAAAGAAAATTCCCTGCAGCTGCAGAAGGCCCAGCTGGAACAGTTACTGGCAGACATGCGGACTGGAGTGGAGTTCACCGAGCACTTGCTGACCAGCGGCTCAGACTTGGAGATCCTCATCACCAAGGGGGTGGTAGTAGAACGGCTCAGGAAGCTGAACAAAGTTCAATATAGTGCCCGTCCTGGAGTAAATGATAAGATACGCTTCTGTCCTCAGGAGAAAGCAGGCCAGTGCCATGGCTATGAAATTTATGGTACCATTAATACCAAAGAGGTTGATCCAGCCAAATGTGTCCTACAAGGAGAAGGTAGGAAGGCATTTCCCATTGACATTGAGAAGGCAGTCTACAGGGAGATGGTGTGTAAAGATTGGTGGCTTGTTTTGCTAGGAAGCACGCCCTACTGACCAGGTTACCAAAGGTGGGGAGATAAACTGATCTGAAAGACAGTGACCCTCACCTTTGCCCTTTCTGGTTTGTTCTGGTTAGGGTACAGTTAATACAGGAGTGAGGCTTGACCCTTTTCCTGTTCAGAGAAGTAGTAACAGCTGAGAAGCACATAGATTATGTTTTGTTTCTATCAGATGGCAGAACAGAGACAGTGCCCATTGGAGGTAACAGCAGTGACTAGGGCCCGGTGAAATTCTGCCTGCTCAGAGAGGAGCATGGCAGACCCTGGTTTCCTAGATCAAGTTCTGAAGGGGGTTTCAGAGGAGTAAGGAAGACGAGATTACGGTTTCCTTTCCTTTAGGCCCTTTTTGGTTCACATACACCTTACTGGCATTTAAAAGGATATGGTAGGTGTTTCATTTAATTGGGGAAAAATGGTTTCTTTTGACGAACGTTCCCTTTCTAATGGAAGCATGTTATTAAAACACATTTCACAGGTCAGTCCTGATAGGAAGATTGCATCTTAAGGGTCATCAGACTCTTGACACAGGCATTCTTAACTGTTTGGAAGCCATAGATTTCTTTGAGAATGTTCTCTCCTACAGAAACACCCAGTAACTTGTGCATACAATTCCAGATTTTTAGACTCTTCATGAGCCTTTCCATAGACCTCATAGTAGTTCATGAACCCCAGGTTAAGAAACCCTGTTTCATCTGAATGCTGGAGTAGGGGCTGTAGCTACTGGATAGCCCTCCAATACCTTGGCATGAGCTACCAAGTTGCAGAGGATCTCACAACATGGAGGGTCGTGAGGCTGGTCACCTGTACTCCCTGCCTAGCCCAGCGGGATCCGGAGTTTAGGGAGGGTGGTTTTGGGGTTACTAGCCTCTCTCACAAGGTCTAGAGGTTTTCTTCTCTAAATACCTAGGTCGGTCCTGAGTATTTTTAAAGCCTCCTAGGACTGAAGGTAAGGTCCAGGATCCTGTGTGATCCAAAGCAGCTGATAGCTGAGAGAACCAGGCTAACCAGGAAGGACTCCCAAGAGGTGTACTCTAGGAGGCAGAAGGGGAAGAGAAAAGAAAGGGAGCCAGGGTGGTTACAGTAAGCAGGAAAGTACAACCCTTTGTTCTGAAGAGAAAAAGCAAGTTGGAGATGTAGTCACTGCAGTTTACTGAGTGTTTATCTTTTTCAGACCTCCACAGAGCCCGGGAGAAACAGACAGCCTCTTTCACCCTGCTTTGTAAGGATGCCGCAGGAGAAATCATGGGCAGGGGAGGAGACAACATTCAAGTTGCCGTTCTCCCTAAGGATAAGAAAGACAGGTTTGTATGCCACAAGTAGGTGTCATGGATAGCAGGCAGTGAGAAAACTGGAAACATGAGGTCCTTTAAGATATTAGAACTGGGCACGGTGGCTCACGCCTGTAATCCCAGCACTTTGGGAAGTGGAGGCAGGAGGATCGCTTAAGCCCAAGAGTTTAAAACCAGCCTGGGCAACATAGGGAGAACCCGTCTCCACAAAAAAAAAAAAAAAAAAAAAAAAAAATTATTGGCATATCCCTATAATCCTAGCTATTCAGGAGGCTGAGATGGGAGGATCCCTTGAGCCCAGGAGGTTGAGGTTGCAGTGAGCTGTGATTGCGCCACTGCACTCCAACCTGGTAACACAGCAAGACCCCAGGTCAAAAAAAATATATTGGAGTGCAACTAAGTAATTACATCTTACCTCCCCGTAATACTATGAAACGTTATATGACCAAATGTGTTTTCTTGTGTGGATTTTGTATTCAATTCTCTCTCAAAGCTGTGGTGTGCCCCTCAGATTCTTTTCATCTCCAGCTTTAGAATAAGTTGAAAAATCTTCTGTGTTAGACTGAATGGTACCCTTTTCAAAAATCAGTCTCCCTTTGGTACTAAATTATGCCTGGAACATGTTTATATTTCTCTGGAATTGGAGAATGGAGGAGGCACAACAGAGTAAGAGGGTTCAACAGAAGCCTGTTGAAAAGGACGCAATAATATATTCAAGGAATTTGTCTGAATATCAGACTAAATTGGAATTTATGCAGTTTACCTTCTGTTGTAAAATTAACTTTTGAGGCAAATGGAAGAAGCATCCTGTTTGGGTATATTTAACATTAATACTGAATGGAATGGTGTAGTTTACATTCTGAAATAGTAGCAACTAAAGCCGGCTTGTGGGAGTGAGTGGTGTTTTGACTCTTATCTCCATTCAGCCCAGTCAGACCAATGGTGCAGGATAACAAGGATGGGACATACTACATTTCCTACACCCCCAAGGAGCCTGGTGTCTATACTGTGTGGGTCTGCGTCAAAGAACAGCATGTGCAGGTAAGACTGGTGCACGTGCTTCCCTGAGCTCCCTGGCTTCTACTGTCTTAGGATCTGGAGATGTTTCGCATAGAATCAGCTATACAGAGAGATTGAATAGAATCCCCATGTCTTCTTCTTCACTTTAGAAACAGCCCAGATTTTGCTACTCTTATTCTTCCTGGAGAATATGCTGTTGACCATAAGGATGCTGTTGACCTCTATCCCTGTGTCACTTCCTGGCAGTTATGCGTATAGTTTATCATTCTCCCAGTCAGTTTCTTAGGATTCTTAATATGGAGAAGATGTCTTGATCACAGGGGGTGATCTGCCAGCAGACAACCATGCATATTCAAAAAATATAATCTAGCTCAGAATTCTCCAGTTTTGTCCAGACTGTATCTGGCCATGAACACAGTTGAGAGAGTTACGCCCCCTCCTCACAACTGACTAGTCATCTATCTGCCTAACCATCTGCTTACGTAATTTTCTACTGTGTTTTACATATAGGTTTTTCTGTTACTATGGTTACTATAAACAAACAAATATACCAAACAAGTTATGTTACCATGGTTTCTACAAACAAGTATAACACAAACAAGTAGAGCACTTTCCGCTTTAGAGATTATGAGTTTTTAAAAATTGGGTGATACTAACCGGTCCAGCAGAATCTTTCTGCTGACCTTGGAGTACTCACAGGTTTCCCTCCACAGAAATCAGCACTGACAGGGACAGTAAAATACCATACAGCATCATGATATGTTAGGCTTATGATTTGTGCACTTAGGAACACTCATATTTAAAAGCCATTTATTTACTTAATTGTGGTATGTCAGGACCAGATTAGGTGTTTTTACATACGTTATTTCAATTTTCCTCAAAACCACTCAGGCACAGGGATCAGTGTCCAATTAGACCAAGAGACCAAACTTGCATTAAAATACACAGCAAATATAGCAAAATGGGAATTTGAACCCATTTCTTTGAATGCCAGGTTGTTTTTTAACTGGATTGTAAACTCTTTAAGATGGGAAATTTAACATCTGAAAGACTTCTAAGGTGCTAGGCTCTCTGCTTTGCGTTTTCTCTAACAGTGTGGCTCTCACATAAGGATAGGCACATTGCAACTTATTAAATATTTAAATTTGGCATGATGGTGTGTACCTGTAGTCCCAGCTACTTGGGAGGATTGCCTGAGCCCAGGAGCTCAAAGCTGCAGTGAGCTATGGTTGTGCCAGTGCACTCCAGCCTAGTGACAGAGTGAGATCCCATCTTTAAAAAAATATATTTTTTTTGTTTAATATGGGATATAAATTAGAGAATGAAAGTTATCCTTAAAGGAAAGGGAGCAGATGGGAGAGTTACTAATTTGAGGATTATTAGCTGTACACATTTTAACCTTTCTCCCTTCCATATGTCTTCACTGTCACAGAATAAATGGGTGAGTAAACAGATAAGTCATGTCCAGGATGGAAGGAAAGAGGCTAGCTTGGTATGTGAGAAGAGGTACAAGGCTGAGAAATTGGAGAAGGGACCACAGGATGTCCTATCTTTGTGGTTGCGATATTCTACTTATTACACCTGAGGTTCCTTAAGAATTGAAATTGAGAATCCCAGAGAAAAGTCAGTCTGAGATTACTAATGTATTGAATGACCTAGATCCTTATACTTCATACAAGGATAGAGTGAGGCAGAATCCATTAAAAAAAGCTTAAGCTTCTTGTGGCATGGGCCATCTTGCCAGAACAATCCCCAGCTAATACAGATGTCACTGAAAATGCAGCTGACGCTGTGTGACTCCTGTCAGTGCCCAGCAGGTTCGGCTACACGGAATAAAATCAGTACTTGAGTCTACTACTCAGCATCTGCGGTGAAAAGCATGGTAGGAGGGCTGCACAGACCACATAATGCTTCCACTGCCTCTGTATCTGCCCCCTCTCAGCTGAGCAGGGTTCTTGCCCTCTAATCTGTTTCTTTCCTGGTGTCCTTGTCCCTCCAAGGGCAGGCCCTGTGCCTCAGACTCTGTTTAGCACATAGCGATGCTCAACACATCCTGTTAACTCGTAAGATGCTGTTCTTTGCTTTTGGTCTGAACACTGAAGGGCTCGCCATTCACTGTGACCGTGAGGAGAAAGCACCGCCCACACCCAGGTGTGTTTCACTGCTGCACCTTCTGCTCCAGTGGAGGCCAGAAAACCGCTCGCTGCGCCTGTGGAGGCACCATGCCAGGTAAGGAGAAAGCACTACCTGGGCCTTCCTGCCAGCAGCGGGAATCAAGCAACTGGCCCTTCCCCACCACACAGCCACGAGACATTTGGACTTAGGCTCTGTTTCTAGGAAGCACAGTCTGTGATTGTAGAGACACCACTGTTCTAAAAGTTTCACTTAAAGCTTCCTTGTTCTGAATTGAAATAGCAGGCTTAAAAGCTCTGAGTTCTGTTAGTTTTGGTACAGCTCCTATGAGCCCTGTGCTTCTGTGTCGGATTCTCAGTTTGTCCCTTTCCAGCAGCCTGAGCAGTGTGAAAACTGTGGACCCATCTTATTCCTTTTAGTATCTTAAATAAATTCCAAAGGAGGCATGGCTGGGGGAGTGGATGATTAAACCAGTTGAACAAGGTCTGGGTCTTTCAGGGAGACGGAAAGGATAGGGAGTTTAGGTAAAGGATCTAATTACTTTAAAAAAAATTATTCTGTCCTTACTCTAATAATGGGCCGTAAAATGGGCTTTTGCATCCTTCTGTATAAACACTTGAGGATCTACCTCTGTTTTTTTTCTATGTCCACCAACCTATCCTTTTTTATTTCAGTGATTTTACAGTTAAAATCCAAACCAATTTATTTTACAGTTAATGTGCAAACTAGTTCGCCTCCTTCAGGTGGTAAGTTTTATCACTACAGCATTCTTAGAACTCTGGCTAACATGAGTTGATTTGCTGTGATCAATTTTCAGGGTCCTCCTGACTACACAGCAGTCAGACAGCTTGTTCCTCTTGCCAAGACTTTCTTAGATATTTTCACTCCCATGAATCTGCATGTTGCCAGGAGGTCGGTCTAATTTCCGCGATAATGGTAACTGCTGGACTCCACTCTAATGGTTGATTTTTGTCCTTTCTTCTTTGTCCCATGTAGGTGGGTACCTAGGCTGTGGCCATGGACACAAAGGCCACCCAGGTCGTCCCCACTGGTCATGCTGTGGGAAGTTTAATGAGAAGTCTGAATGCACATGGACAGGTGGGCAGAGCGCACCGAGGAGTCTACTTAGGACTGTGGCTCTCTGATGGGTTTGTGCTCAGCCTTTTAAAGCTGCAGTCAGCACTACTCGATATTTCCAGAGGACCCAGACCTTCTTTCATTCTAAAGAGACTGATAGAATTAAAAACAAAGTGCCTTATCTTGCACTGGAGTTCAGGTGCTCTTTTGTTACTCACTGGTTGTACTTGTGGATGGTTGAGCACAAAAGACCACCTCTACATTTCTCTTAAAGGTAGGTTGGCAAACGTTCTTTTTCTACCACACGAGACTCCTTTTCATTTTGTACAGTATGGAGGTATCTATTCCATTGGAACTGAAGGGTCTAGGTCGTTTAGTTAGTTCCTTTCTGATATGACCCTTTTTTTTTAGACAGAGTCTCACTCTGTCACCCAGGCTGGAGTGCAGTGGCATGATCTTGGCCCACTGCAACTTCCGCCTCCCGGTTCAAATGGTTCTCCTGCCTCGGCCTCCCGAGTAGCTGGGATTACAGGTCCCCGCCACCACGCCCAGCTGATTTTTGTGTTTTTAGTAGAGATGGGGTTTCACCATGTTGGCCAGACTGGTCTCAAACTTCTGATGACCTCGTGATCCACCCGCCTCAGCCTCCCAAAGTGCTGGGATTACAGGCGTGAGCCACCACACCTGGCCTATCATGACCTTTTTTATTTTTCTCTGAGCTACACATTATTTAGATATTTCCCCTAGAGATTAGAAACCTCCTTTCATCCTGTCTGCTTTTTGTTAGCATACTTTCAGTGGATTTACTCGTACATGTTTCATGATCATGATAATGTGATCTTGTTTTGGTGGTGTCCCCCCCACCGCTCCCATGCCATGTCAGCCTTCTGCCCCAAAGCCTGAAGATTACTCTTTGGTCAAGGGCATACAAATAGAAAGTTAATAAAGGGGAGTGGTGTTGAAATAGAACCTCATACGTTTATTACAGTTCTACTCATGCCACAAAATCTAGACACCTTCATACTTCTCACAGGTCTGTTTTTGGTAGAGTAGTCTTTAGAGTAGTCTTCACTGTTGTTTATATACCTAGAAAGTTAACTGGGAGCTTTGACTCTTAATGTGCCTTCACTCATAGTGTGCCTTCTTAGCTGCTTGAGAATTCTGGGGAGAGGATGTACACAGCACTAGTGCCTCAGCCCTGCCAAGGTCTTCACTGTATATATTTCGTGTGTTCTTCTGAGAGTCTTGATTTCCTATATAGCAATAAACTCAGCATATATTAAATATAATTAGCGAAATCTGCATTATAAGATCCCTTAACAGGTGGATGACGCCTTTGGTGAATTGGGTCAGGCAAAGGAAGTGAAATAATTAGATGATGACTGTCAGATCATTGTGGAATACATTTCCTCCTTGAGGCTGACAGACATGGGCTACATTGTAGCCATAAATACTAAGATGTTCTCTGTGTTCTCACCCTTTTCTGGAAACATTCCCTTCAGCCTCTTTCTGTAACCCAAATCTGATCTTTCCAAAACACGTTCCTGCCCGTCACCCTCTCAAATTATTAGCTATTTGCTCTTCCTCACTCCTTCTGTCACTCAGCCCAGAAGTATATGTCCTTTTAGCTTATTACTACTGCTTTGAGATGAGTGGTTCTTTTTTTTTTTTTTTTCTTCGAGATAGAGCCTTGCTCTGTTGCGTAGGCTGGAGTGCAGTGGCGCGATCTCAGCTCACTGCAACCTCCACCTCCCAGGTTCAAGCGATTCTCCTGCCTCAGCCTCCCGAGAGTAAACTGAGATTACAGGCACATGCCACTACGCCCAGCTAATTTTTGTATTTTTAGTAGAGACAGGGTTTCACCAGGTTGGCCAGGATGGTCTCGAACTTCTGACCTCATGATCCGCCCACCTTGGCTTGCCAAAGTTCTGTGATTACAGGCATGAGCCACCGTGCCTGGCCGAGATGAGTGGTTCTTAACCAGGAGGGACTTTGCTCCTAAGAGGACATCTGGCAAAGTCTCAGAGACATTTTTAGTTGCCACTACTGGGGCAAGGTGCTACTAGCATCTTGTGGGTAAAGGTCAGAGATGCTGCTAGTCATTTTACAGTGCTCAGGACAGCTTCCTGAAACAAAAAAGTATCCAATCCAAAATGTCAGTGGTTCCACTGCTGAGAAACCCCGTTCTAGGGCATTAGCCATATTTTTTTTTTCTAAAAATGGCCAGCCTTGGAGCTCATGCCTTTCAGCTATACAGCTTGCTATTCCTCCATGGTTCAGCCATCTACTGAGCCCCAAATTGTTCCCCTTCATTCCTTGAAGATTATAGCATTGAGCTTGCTATGACTCCGGTACAACTCCTTATCAGTCTTGGGATAACTCATTGTCTACACAGACTTCTTAGTTCTGTGACCATTTCCCCAATGTTATTTTTTCCCTACTTAGCCTTACATATCCTAGATCTTGATTCCAACTGCACACTCTGCATAGTCTTAGTTTCAGGCATCCTGCAACCACAACCTCCCACCTTTCCAGCTCACCCACTGTAATAACCTGACTACTAATTCGTCTACCTCTTTGGAATCCACAATGCAGTGATTCTGCCACCTTCCTGTTGTTCCTCTCACCCACCTCAGGTCCTTCCCTTCATCCTTCCCAGCTTAGATTCTACAGACCATCACTATAATGACTCTATTGCATAGTCTCCCTCTATCATTCTTGCCTGGCAAAACTCCAACCCAGGTTAGATCCAGCTTTCCATCTAACCCAACTGAATGATCCTAAAAAAAAAAAAAAAAAAAAAAAAAAAAAAAAGCGTGATGACTAGCCTCACTTTAAATTTATGACCACTAATTTCAGTGGGCCTTAGCATTGCCTGATAACCTGAAACATCTCCCCAGTCCATTTATTCTCCCATGCTTCTAGACAATTCATACTTTCTTCCCCTCAAACTCCAATTTCTACCCCACCTCTACTCTGTACTTATGACCTTGCCTCCTATTTCACCAAGAATATAAAAGGATTCAGAGAATTTCCCTAACCTCCCTACCACATGTACACATCTATCCAAATTCCTATCAAGAGCCAACTTCTATCCCGTGTACTAAATCCCATTCTGTAGCTATTGCCTGAGAACATTGCTTCAGTAATTTCCCCCTCTACCAGATTGCTTACTTCAGAAAATAAATATGGTACAATATTCCCTCTTCAAATACAAGTTTCCCTTTTGTATTAGTTGGCTAGGGCTGCCATAACAATACCACGGACTGGGTGGATTAAACAACAGAAACTAGTTTTCTCATGGTTCTGGAGTCTGGAAGTCCAAAATCTAGGTGCTGGCAGGGTTGTTTTTTGGTGAGTACTCTGTCCTTGGCTTGCAGATGGCAGCCCTCTGTTTTCACATGGCCTTTCTCCTGTGTGCATGTGCTCCTGGTGTCTCTTCATATAAGGACACCAGACCTATTGGATTAGGACCCCACCCACATGAGGTCATTTAACCTTAATCACCTCCTTAAAGGTTCTTTCTCCAAATAGAGTCGCATTGGGTGTTAGGGCTGAGTTTTCAAGAATCTCACAACCCACTTTAGCAACTTCCCCCCTTTTCTGCTCCTCTTTAAAAGGACCTCAAAAGAATTGTTGTTTGGTATTTCTAGTTTCCCTCCCATTCTCTGTACGATCTAATCCAGTCAGTCAGTCATCCTCAAGACTCCACTGAAATAGCTGTTGTCAAGGTTACCGGTAAACTCCAGGTTACAGAATCCAGTGTTCAATTCCCAACCTTTATCTTTTTTGACCACCCAATATCAGAGAAATCTTTTAAAACATGTCAGCTCATGTCACTCTTCTGCTCACCACTGTCCATTGGCCTCGCATCTCAGAAAAGCGAGCCTTTACATCAGCATGTAAGACCCCACATGATCTGGATCCCTGCTCTTACTGCCCACCCATCCGCCTCCATCACCCTGTTCCAGCCAAACTGGCCTGCCTGGTGCTCCTCAAACTCTCCACGCACTGTCTTGGGGCCTGAATCACTGCCCCTCCATCTGAAATGCTTTTTTCACAGATACCTTCATGGTTTATGTTCCTCTCAAGTTCTCACTCCAGTGTCAAATATCACCCTATTAACTACTCTGTACAAAATAGCAACTTCCCACCCCAGAGTTGCCCAGTTTCATCACCATCTCACATATATGTATATGTTTTGTGGTTTGTATTTTTTTTTTTGGAGACAGGATCTCTGTCTCTCTGTTGCTGAGGCTGGAGTGCAGTGGCACGGTCTTGGCTCACTGCAGCCTCTGCCTCCCGAGGTTCAAGTGATTCTCCCACCTCAGCCACCGAAGTAGGTGGAACCATAGGCGCACCCCACCATGCCCGGTGAATTTTTTGCATTTTTTGTAGAGATGGGGTTTTGCCATGTTGCCCAGGCTGGTCTCAGAAACTCCTGGCCATCTCAAGCCTCTCGAAGTGCTGGGATTACAGGCCAACATATGTATGTTCTGTTTGTTGTCTGCCCTCTCATGCTAGATTGTAAGCTGTATGAGGGCAGGGATTTGATATTTTTAAACTACCATTCTGTCCCCGTGTAGGACAGTTCCTGGCAGATAGTAGAGACTTCATATTATGATCAGTGAATAAAGATCTAATTGGTAGAATTTTTAGTTTGGATCTCCTTGGTATCTGTTTTATAAGCCAGACTTCCCTTCTCCCAAACCTCAGTATTTGTCATTTAAACAAATACCATTTGGAAAAGCAGCAGCCTTATCTCAAGCCTGTTGGATAAATTATATGCACCTGAGAGACCGGCCTTGAATTTTCCAGTTACCTCATCTAGGGAACTGCTTGCCATGAAGAAGCCTGTTGTATTATATCATCTTTCCCCATGTGCCTTTTAATGAATCCGATTTCAGAATTGAGAACAAAAAGCTTACCATTTATTTCAGTTGGAGGTGGTTTCAGTGATTGGACAACTTTATGTAGATGAAGTAACATTGCAATAGAAAATTTCCATAAGACATCTAGGTTCTGGCTACTGTGTTAGCCTTTAAGCAATATTAATGGTAACAATTCTGTTACAAATACTTAAAGTTTGTGTGTGGGTGTTGGGGATCGGGGCACTGTCTCATGCATGCACTACAGTAGAGTCCAAACCCAATTTAACTGAGCTGTCTTGCCTGCTGAAAGACCTGGCAGAGTCAGTGATCAACAGAGTCCAAGACTCTAAGGTGAGGCAAAAAAAGAGTGGGAGGATTGAGTAGCTGTCCCCAGCGTAACAAAGTGCTTCAGAAATCACCTTTGAATTGTGAGCATTGAAGCATCAACAAGATGCAGCATTATGATGTAACTTATGCCTCTGGTGTTACAGGTAAGAAAAAAGAGTCACAAATAAGAGCCTCTGTCCCCTGGGATGTTGCAACAGGATAAACACTTTGGCTGTCTTGGATAATAAACATACACATACCTGTCAGGCCACCCATATTCTAATGTCCAAAATGCAACAGTTGCTCAACTTTCCTCTAGAGAATGTATCCCTGTGTGGTAGGTTTGGCTCAATGAAGAGGTGGTTCAGTGAAGTGGATGCTCATTAGAAGCAGGATACAGTATAGGAAGAGGCATCTCACTCTGCCTTCTTAGCTCCTACATATTGATTTCCATTCTTTCATCACTTCCTCAGCTCTTCCCTGACTAGCTCCAATCCTGTTATAAGCCCTCCCAGCTGCACAGTCGTCTCTTGTAGCACTCACTCAGCATCATGGCTGCTTCACAGCCACGCGGGGTTATTTGATTAATGCCTGTCTCCCTTAGATGCTAAGCCTCAGGAGGACAGGATAGTTTTTCAGTTTTGCTTGCTTTTGTATTTCCAGTGCCCAGCAGTGCCTGGCATACAGAAAGTGTGCAGTATACATTTCTGAATTACTGTATGAATAAGCAAGAAAATAGTCTCATCCTTCCTTTCTTATGTAGTCTCTACCTATTAATACATTTGGATTTAGCTATGGAATCTGGGAAAAAAGAACTCAAGATAGTAGAAACATTGTGTAGCTGCCTGTCTGTCTCCCCTCTTCCCTCCCTGGGGGTTAGGCTGGGTTTTGCTTTTTTTTTTCTTCTGCATTTTCCCATATCTATCTCCATCCCCTAACTACTGACTTCTGTGGTACTTTGTACTATAAATGACCTTGGTTTCATTTTGTTATGAAAACATTTTAGTCTAGGTCATATGTCTAGGAATTCTGAATTTATAGTATAATTCTTTGTGCCTACGGATGTGCTTTTAAATTTTTCCTGCCCTCTTCCTAAGGCTAAATGCTATATAACAAACAGCAGTACAATATCCCACTTTGGAAACCTAATTCTTTCAAGGTATTATAGTCGATAGCGAAATTTCAGACAACCAGAGGCCACACTGAGCACTGGTGTCTCCATGCTTATCCTATTAGTGCAGGAGAATCTAGCTTCACCTTTGAGCCCTCCTAAAAGCCATTTCATTGAGCAAAAGACAATCAGAGCAAAGAAACAACTCAGTGTTCATGAATTGCCATGCTAAATGACTCACAGGATTGCTAGAGAAATAAGTCACCTCCTATAAAGAGAAATTTTTTTTTTTTTTTTTTGAGACAGAGCCTCCCTCTGTGGCCCAGGCTGGAGTACAGTGGTATGATCTCAGCTCACTGCAGCCTCCGCCTCCTGGGTTCAAGTGATTTTCCTGCCTCAGCCTCCCAAGTAGCTGCGATTACAGGTGCCCAACATCACGCCTGGCTAACTTTTGTATTTTTAGTAGAGATGGTTTTGCCATGTTGGCCAGGCTGGTCTCAAACTCCTGGCCTCAAGTGATCTGTCTGCCTCGGCTTCCCAAATGCTGGGATTACAGCTGTGAGCCACTGCAGTGGGCCTGCAATGGGAGTCACTGATGAGGTTGTTGAAGGGCCCAGGACTCTGCCCAGCTGTGGCATGCACCATACTCCTATTTGATCAACATGGCCAAGGCAAAGTCAAACTACAAACCTTCCATGAAGTCAGTTCTGTCGAGTAAGAAATACCTTGTAAATCCGGTGCTCAGGAATGTTGCACTTTGGTGACAGACGTTCACCATCTGGCTCTCAGCTGCACCCGTGCTGCTGCTGGTTCTCATATTCCCAGACCTTGTCCCACAGCAATAACACTAGCACTTGTGTGGCCCTCCATGGTTTTCAAAGCATTTATTACCTCATATCATCCATGACCAAATCAGGTGCAACAGGCAGATGTAAAAAGCAAATCCAGCAGCAGTAGTCGCATGAAGGAAGGCTGGTTGACAGGCAGGACTCAGTGCAGCACTTCAGTTAGACCACTACGTTGTGGGATGCTGTCCATCGCTAGAAGGTACAATGACCCACCCTGTCATACCTAAAGAAACTGATTTACACTAAAATGAATATGAGCCTGAGGTAGGATACCAGAATGCCACTTCCATTAATACATGAGACATTTCCATCCCAGCACTAGGATTTAAGAATGCATGTTTGGTATATTCCATCCCACTAAGGCAGTGGTTCCATTTCTTTCTGCATCCACATCAAATCAATAGCATCTTACAGCTATGAGAACACCTACCCAAGACATAACTAGGTTGCTTTGCTTGCGTACAATAACAAGGGAAATTAGAGAATCTGTTTTAAAATACCAGGAGGCATCTACCTTGCAGTAGACTACTTGTCAGTGGCCTCAATATCTGAATATTATAGGTTACAATCCCTGCATTCCTCTCCAAACTAAAAGCCAGAATACTTGAACCTGAAAGAATTCCTCTCCCCTAAACAGGGCTTGACTGGAGACTGACAATGTTCGTCCAACACCTTCTAGTTGACATTACTGATCTATCTGGTCAAACATGTTATAGTATATATATTTGCTATGATATTCCCAGCGGAGCATGAGATACATGATAATCCACACATTTTACAGATGAAAGGATTGAGATGTCCAAGGAATCTGCAACTTGCCTAATTTCAATCAGCAAATGGCAGAGCCAGGTTTGTACATTCTTGCTGGCCTGGGAGCCACTGCTTCTCAAGTGACTCAATCTTTACCTTGGTGTGTCTATCTTATAGCAAAACTTCAAAAAGGCAATATTACTTCCTTTGCTTCTTATCAGAAACCTTGCTGCTGCTAAGTTCTGAAAACTGCCCGCCTTACAAATGAGGAAATCACAATGTAGAGAAAGTGAGGATTGATTGATTGACTGATTGATTTTGAGATGGAGTCTCACTCTTTCGCCAGGCTGGAATGCAGTGGCGCGATCTCAGCTCACTGCAACCTCCGCCTCCCGGGTTCAAGCGATTCTCCTGCCTCATCCTCCCCAGTAGCTGGAACTACAGGCACGTGCCACCACACCCAGCTAATTTTTGTATTTTTAGTAGAGACAGGGTTTCACCATGTTAGCCAGGATGGTCTTGATCTCTTGACCTCATGATCCACCTGCCTCGGCCTCCCAAAGTGCTGGGATGACAGGCATGAGCCACTGCATTCGGCCAATTTTTTTCAACGTTATACACCCAGCTAAGATGAACCTAGAACTAGAGTCAAGTCTCAGTTCTAGACTAGAATTCTTCCAACCAGGCCATTGTCTTTACCTTTGTAAGCCTTTAGATCTTGTCCTTATATAAAACCTCTGCTTGAACAGGCTCCGAATGCCTCAGTCCACACTGTGACTGGGTTAACACAGGCTCTTGTTTCCCAACTCAAGGGAGAGAAATATTTCTATGTAAGAAGAACTGTGATTCTTTCTAGCAGAAATTAGCAGAGTAAGTGTTTTTGGAATAATTGCTAATGAGAAGAAGGAAATCTGAATAGTTTCCTGAAGTATAAAATCTCAAATGTTTGTATTAGGGTACAAACTACTATATAAACAACACAAAAATCTCAGTAGCTTAAAAAAAAAGATTCCTTGATCATGTCATAGTCCAGTGTAGGTGAGCTGGTGCGAGGGGGGAAGTGCACATGGGGAAGCCATCCTGGGACTGAGGCTTTACTAGTCTAATAGAAGGGCTGATGGCCAAAAACTAGGCTAAGAACTGCTGAGCCTAGTGGCTTCACCTTCCCTAGGGCCTTGTAATCTTCCATCAGTTCTTTTGCATCCCATAGGCTGAGGAGGGAAGAAACAGCATGAATGATCTTTTGAAAAGTGGTAGAGGGCAGCCTAGAAGTGACTTACATCACTTCTCTCCACAGTCTATTGATGCGGACCCCATCAAACTGCAGCCAAGATGGAAATACAGTCTCTCTGGGTGCCCGGGAGGAAAAGGAAATGGGTTTGATGAACACATAGCATTATTTCTGCTACACTGTCAAACACATTATTTATTAGATTGTGTCAATACTACTGTTAGTATTATTAGTATTGGATTGTACCAATAGTATTACTAGTATTGGATTGGATTAGTATTGGACTGGATTAGTATTTATTAGATTATACCAAATACTAAATGAAACAAAGATACTAAATGCTACAAATACTGTAAATTTGTAAAAATACAAATACTATTAAAAATGACACAAATATTATACAAATGCTACATATAATAGAAATGATATAACAGAAATACTAAATGATACAATGAACCAAATGATACTAAACGATATGGTGATAACCAATATTAAATGACTGAGTGATATACAACACTAAATGATACACTGACACTAAACAATACAATGATACAGATACTCAACATCTGTTCATGTACAAAGCATCTCCTTGACCTTCAGTCTGAGAGGAAGAACTGCCTGCACTGAGAGAACTGCAGAGATGGCTGGTTGCAGGGTGGCTGCAGGGATCGACTCTCTGCTCCACCCACAAAAAGATGGTTACAGGAGCAACATCACTGGCAAGAAGAGATGAAGAGATAGGATGGCGTCTGTGTTACAGAAGGTAGTAATAGTGGTTCTCCCATCATCAGCTAAGAAGAGATAGGCAACACAGAACTTTTTGAGCTTTTTTTCTTTTTTTTTGAGACAGGGTCTCACTATATTACCCAGGCTGGGATACAGTGGTACAATCACAGCTCACTGCAGCCTCAACCTCCCGGGCTCAAGAAAACCTCCTGCCTCAGCCTCCCAAGTAGCTGGGACAACAGGTGTGCTCTACCACGCCTAGCTCATTTATTTATTCTTCATAGAGATGGGGTCTTACTCTGTTGCCCAGGCTGGTCTTGAACTACTGGCTTCAAGCCATCCTCCTGCCTCGGCCTCCCAAAGTGTTGGGAATACAGACATGAGCCACCACACCTGGCCCGCTTTTTTAACTTTACTGAAGCTTATGTACAATTCTGCAAGAGTTGTTTTCCAAAATCATCCAACTCTAAAATATTTTCTTTTATCTAAAAAAATCAAATGGTTTCCATACCACTCATTAAATAAATTGACGTATTAACATAATTGGTTAACTAATTGGCTAACATAACCCCTCCTCAATTCTGGGGATAAGATTATGCCTCATTTTGAGGAAGGTGAAAGGCTTGATGGTGAAATTGAAATGCAAAGAACAGAGTTCAAGGCTCATGATTAGGTTGTTATTCCCAGATCCTAATACAAACCAGCAGTGGTGCTATTCTGAGCCCTTATCCATGGGAGGTTAGATGCCAAAAAGGACTCTGAGGTCAGCCAAGGTGAGCTTGGTGACAGATTCTCCAGACCCTGATAGAACTTGTTTGGCCAAATCTTTCTTTTTTTCTTGGAGCTGTAAGATCTTTTCTTCTACTGTTCCCTCACAAACAAATCTAAAAAACAAAAACAAAAAAAAATAAGCAAACTATCAAAAACCAAAGCAGCACATCTAATAATACATTCAAACTTTTATTATGCTTCAGTTTTTAATGAGATTTCTTCCTTTAAGTCTTCTTAGGTCCAGTTAAGAACCCTGTTTGAGGGATTCAAACAACCTTGACTAGATATATGTCCCTTTGAAAGGATGTGACTCACATTGACATTCTAATACTTTGTGAAGCTAAGGTAATTGAAAAAATTCAGAATAAGCAAAAGATACCACAATCCAAAAAAGTATAGAGATCCACTTTCACCTGAAAAGTTCTACCTTGGTAAGTCCATAAGGCCTCAAAGGTTATCAAATTTCTGCTAGTTTAAGTAGAGTATCTATTTTTTAGTGAATTCACACTAAAAACAGGGTTTTCAAACCAAGTAAATGGCACTGTTGTCATTCATTCACTCATTCAAAAGTATTGATTAAGCACTCACTACACTATGCTAGGTGTGGGGATGGAGAGATGAATACGGTCTTTCTCTGGAGTAGGACACAAGCGAGACAAACATGAAAATAAACAACAATAATAATATGACCTGGTAAGTGCTATAATGGAAGTATGTGCTGTGTGCAAAAGGAAGAAAAGGAAATGTGTCCAGAGTAGTCAGGGAAGGCTCCATTAAAGAGTTAACTCTTAATATGAGACTTGTATGATGGGCAAGGGTGTGCCAGAGAGAGCAGTGAGGAGAGCACCCCAGGGAATGGGAAGATGTGCAAAACCATGGCTGAGTTTCAGAGCATGGTGTATTGGAGGAAGTTCACATTCACCGTGTTGTCCAAAATGGCAAAGGCTCAAGAGGCTGGCAGGACCAGATCACGGGTGGCGGTGTATGTCATGCTAAGACATTTTGATTTGATCCTATAGGAGGTGAGAGCTACCGAAGAGTATGAGAAGTGGATGACACAATCAGACTGATTAGTTAGGAAGAGCCCTTTGGTGGTGATGCAGAGGACAGAATTCAGTGGAGTGGGAAGGGGGGACCTGGCAGTGGGCATGCGAAGGAAGAAATGGTTATCAGAAACATTTAGAAAATACAACTAAAGGACTTGGTACATGAAAAAGCAAGAAAGGTGGGAGTCTAGTTTCTGGCTAGATATAATTAGATAAAGAGTGATACTATTCACAAAGACAGTGACTACAGAAGAATAGCAGATTTGAGGTAATAGGAAGAGAAAATCAATTTTGATTTGTAACATTTGAATACCTGAAACATGTTATTATACTTGCTACATAGTGGGTGCTCAAAAGGTATGTTTTATGGGCTGAATGCTCAAATGAACAATGAATAAAAGAAAGGATAGCAGATGAGTATGTGGACACTCGGATTCAGATATTTAGCAGGGACTGCGATAGTCAGATCTAAAGTTTAGGAGACCTTGGAACTAAAGATATGAATTTTGGACTTACTGGAGTGCATGGAATTTGTAAAGGAAAGAATGCACAGAATAAGCAGAGAAGAGAGCATAGGAAGACTGTCATAATCACTATATTTGGCAAAGTCTGGAAGTCATTGGTGCCCCTTAACAAGAGCAATTTCAGTGCAGCAACAGGAGTAAAAACCAGTTTGCAAAGGTTGAGGAATGAATGGGAAGTTATCAAGTAAAAATAGGCAGTGATTCCTAATTCTTCAGGAAACCTGGTCATGAAAAGGAAGGAGAAAAACAGGGCCATTGTGAGAGGGGACTGGCAGCATTAAGGCAGGTTTTGTTGTTTTTAAAGACAAGGGGGTCCAAAATAGAGGACATTTTGCAAAATAACTGGCTCATGCTCATCAAAATGTCAATGTCATAAAACACAAAGACTGGGGTACTGTTCCAGATCAAAGGAGACAAACTTATGACAACTGCATGCTACCGGAATCTGGGATTCTTTTTTGCTGTGAAGGACATTACTGGGACAAGTGAGATTGAAAAGATCTGTAGATCAGATAATAGTGTTTTGTTAACTTTAATAACCTGCTTTTGATCATTTTATTGGGGTTATGTAAGAGAATTCCCTTAATTTTAAGAAATGTACACTTAAGTACTTAGGGACAAAGGAGCATCAGGTCTACGACTTGTTCTCAAGTGGTCCAGAAAAGTGTTTCTACCCACATGCACACATAATATATGGGAACTTTTTGGTACTATTCTTGTACCTTTTCTGTGTGTCTGAAATTATGTCAAAATAAAAGTTAAAAAGAAAAATAAAAGAGAGGAGCGTCGTTTCATGGACTGCCCTCACCATATACACAAACTTGCTCTTCTTTTGCAGTGACCAACTTCAAGCTTGCCCCAAATTGCTCGTTTTTTCCCTGACTGTGGTTTGCCTGAGGGTATGCCTCAGGAGCATCATTAATAAAGTCATCACCAAATACTTTAAATTCTATTAAGACACTACCTAACAAAGAAAGACTTTCACAAAGTACAAGTTGAGAAGGGTCCTGGGGACCATTACTTACCTGTGTATGACAACATCTTTCTGCTGCCCTACTCGGTAAATTCGGTCACAAGCTTGATCCTCAAGTGACGGATTCCTGTTAGAAGACAGGTAAAGCTCAAAGGAACCGACATACTAGATCAGAAGTGGCAAACTATGGACCAGGGGCCACATCCAGTCCATAGCTTGTTTTTGTAGCTAAAAATTATTGTTACATTTTTAAATGGATTTAAGAAGAGAAAGCAAAGCAAAACAAAACACATCATGTGACAGAAACCTATGTGGCCTGAAAAGCCTCAAAGAAAAAAAATCTGTCAACCCCTGTCCTAGGTTATAGTGGCCTAAGACAAGCTGGTGCCAGATACCTTCTTGGCTAGTTTCTAGTGAGAAACTAGGGTCAGAGTGTTCATAATAGCTCTTATCGCTATCATCAGTTGACAACTCTAAGTAACAGAGATGAAACCAAAACCCAGGTCTGGTCTCTAGGTAGCTAGATGTCCTTGGGCTTCAGATTGCTCAGCCCTCCAGGCTTCAGATTGCTACTTGGAAACTGAAGGGCCAGCTAATGATCTTGAATAGCTACCTTTTTCAACTTTGATATTCTGTGATTCAATGAAGGAGACTTAATTTGTTTCCTTCTTTATTGATTCCCATTGTAACTCCAAATTAGTTTCTCAGCTTACCTCTTTAAAATCTTGGATAACATTTCTCTATCTCAGAGGGAAAAAAAAAAAAAAGCATGATTCCTAGTATGCGTTCCTCACTCACGTGTATAGAGGAGTCCCAAGTAAGAACTAAACCCATTCTCCCGGAAGATGATAACAGGTTGACCTATTTGTACCAATCTGGGCTGTCTAGAGAACTAGACCAATGACAATCCCTAGCAACAGTGCCTGGTGCAGCAATCCTTGATTGGCATAACCAGAAAACCAGAAACTGGTACTAATTATGAGATTTCCTGTTAGCAACACACTCATTCATTTTGTGGCCACGAAAGATGTGGTTGTACTCCTGGTATTAACACTACATACATGAATCCAAGGGTGAGGTATTAAGTATATTTCTAACATAATTAGAAAATCCCTATTCCTTTGCTTTTTGGAGTAATGCTTCTTCCTCTTTTCGAAGGTTGAAATTTCCTTGGACCCCAACAAGTATGTCTGAAATACAGTATTCTGGAGAAGAGGTAAAAATGAGCAATGTTAACTATTAGCCATGAGGAAAAGCTATGCTCCTAGTTTCCATGGAAACAGATGTTAGATTAACAATAACATGAATGAACTATTTTGAGTAGTCATTTGAAGGCTTGCTAGCTCAGGAATTCAGGGGAGTCAACTAGCCCTCTACCCTGCTTAGATCTGTATCTATAGACAGATACAAAGCAAGGCATCTCCACAATACAAACACAGCAATCAACATAGGAAGTCAGTTCCTGCTGCCCCTGTAGCCCACTGGCCTCCTTGCTGTGCTGTGACAACTCAGGACAAATCCGGAATCATTACCAGTGCATGTCCAAAAGAAAGAGATGGTTTCCTCCAGTCAGGTTTAGACCAACACCTCCGGCCAAGAGAGAAATCAGCATTACCTTCAAAAGGAAACACAACAGTAACTTTAAACAGACTTGGTCTCGTAACACATCTTGGTCTCAGGTTTAAGTCCACGATCAATACAGATAAGCACTGTGTTCCTATCAGATTTCCTTCTGCTGTTATAAATTTTTTTAAACATTATAATGCTATCTCCCATGTCTCACTTTTGAGAAAATGTCTCACATCACATTTTGTGTGTGTGTGAGTCGACCTCAAAAAATTAACTGAGTGCCTGCCAAAATATATAAATACTGTAATTTAGAACCCTGGGGATGATCAGCTCAATAAACTTTCAATTAACCAGATTATGTTTATTTCATCAGTCCCTACCCCTCCATTGCTACAATAATTCTCCTGCCTATCATTCTTCTAATGCTTTCCAAATCCTTATTATCTATAATTAGATGCCTGTGTTCTTTCATTTCCTTCCGTATTTCCTCATCCCATAACCCCACCTATCCTTCAAAACTTGCCTCCTCTACAAAAATTCCCCTCATCCTAACCAGCTCTGCTCTTAATCTCCTTTTAGTCCTCCTATTTTATTCTCTTTTTTTTTTTTTTTTTTTTGAGATGGAGTCTCGCTCTGTCGCCCAGGCTGGAGTGCAGTGGCTAGATCGCAGCTCACTGCAAGCTCCGCCTCCCAGGTTCACGCCATTCTCCTGCCTCAGCCTCCTGAGTAGCTGGGACCACAGGTGCCCACCACCTCACCTGGCTAGTTTTTTGTATTTTTTGGTAGAGACGGGGTTTCACCGTGTTACCAGGATGGTCTTGATCTCCTGACCTCGTGATCCACCCGTCTCGGCCTCCCAAAGTGCTGGGATTACAGGCTTGAGCCACCACGCCTGGCCTATTTTATTCTTTTTAGAATATTTGTGCTCTTTAAAAGTACCCCAATACATGTCTAATAAATTCTAAACACTTGGAGGAATCAAGACTGTAAATATTTTTAAGTTGCCATATTAGAATTCTCTCTGTATGGCTGGGCACAGTGGCTTATGCCTGTAATCCCAGCACTTTGGGAGGCCAAGCCAGGTGGATCACCTCAGGTCAGGAGTTCAAGACCAGCCTGGTCAACATGGTGAAACCTCGTCTCTACTAAAAACACAAAAATTAGCCAGGCGTGGTGGCAGGAGCCTGTAATCCCAGCTACTTGAGAGGCTGAGGCAGGAGAATCACTTGAACCCGGGAGGTGGAGGTTGCGGTGAGCTGAGATAGCACTACTGTAGTCCAGCCTGGGCAACAAGAGCGAAACTTCATCTCAAAAAACCAAAAACAAAAATGAAACAAACAAAAAGAATTCTCTTATATAACTCAGAACAGTTAATTATGCAGCTCTGATGTGACCAGCTTGTACCTGAGGGCCTCTGGAGTGGTTAAATGCCTCTACCAAGTCCATTCTCTGCTTGGGGTTGACAGAGCCATCGATGGTGGCATAAGTCAGTCCATGCTTCTTCAGGTGCAATGCTACAACTTTCAGCATGTTGGTCCACTGAGAGACAATGACACTGGAAAGAAGGATAAAATAAAAAAATACCCTAACATAGATTACACAGACTCATCTGCAGGGCTTTAATGCCCCCATCATTCTTAAGACTGGCTATCAAATGTTGACAAGGAAAGGGCTTCTGCTGCCTAAGAGAGAAGGCATACATTTAGGTCATGTCTGAAGATTATAATGCTTCCAGTTATTTCTAGATCATTGCTACAATGTATTTGGTGCTAAATGAAGTCAGAAAAAAGTGGTAGCTAGACTAAAGTGATGACTCCAGCCTGCTTTTATTTGGGGGCCTAGTGCTCACCCAGAAATCTGTGGTCCTGCACAAAATGGACACTGACAACCCTTCCTGTGCCAGCCAGAGCAACAGGCTGCTAAGGCTCCTCCCTGCCCCCACGCTGTCTTAATTAGAGTTCTACATTTTTATATTGAATTATTTCACATATGCAAACGCAGGTGTATAGCACATATGTCAGGTATAGCAAATGACAAAATGAAACTCCTTGTATCCAAGTACCCAGCTTAAGAACGTTATCAGCACTGCTGGCGCCCGCTCACTCCCTTGCTTTTCTTTATATGCTTTTCTACTTTTAAACTCTTCTTCAGATGCTTAGCTTACCCTGATCCTGTAGGGATGTCCGTTTTAATTTGCACCACAAATATTTTAATTAGAAATCACAGGGAATGTGTGCTGTAACCTCAGTGCTTTCTGCTGAGCATGACTCACAGTCCTTGATTTATAACTCTCGGCAATATCAAATTTTCTCACATAATTATGACCAATACTTGGATAATGAGAAAACGCAGTTACCTCTTTTGGGACGCTGAATTTCTTTGAATTGCCTCCAATTCTGCCAACAGAGATGAAATCTGGGAAAAGGTTACATCAACACTGTATGTTTAAGCAATTCACTTTTCTCCATCTCCTCTCACCTGCCGTGCGAAGCAGGCTCCTAGATGGCGTCTGTGCTCTGGCCTCACCTGTCTCTATTCCACCCTCCTCTCTGTAGCCAGAAACCTCTTCCTAAAATGTGAGTCTGTCACTTCACCCCTCTGGCTAAAGCCCTTCCATAGCTTCCCACTGAGGATAAAGGCCAAGCTCCTCAAGGCAGCTTGTCGGATCCTTGCTGCTCCAGCCTCTGCTTCTCTGGGTTCGTTTCTCACTATGCCCTCCTCAAACGACACAGCAATCACACCAAAATTCTTCCCATAAATCACACTTTGGCTATCCCATCCATTCTGTTCCCTCTGCCTAGAACACCCTTTTGTGTCAGTGGAGGTCCTCCCAACCCCCAAAGTATGGGTTAGATGCCTACTGCCCATGTACTGTCGTAGCACCTTTTGTTTCTATTATCACAGTCCTTGTCATACTATATATTAGTTGCTTATTATCTCTTGCTTCCAGGACTTGAGACACTCCAGGGAGGCAAATATTAGGAAAGTACCTTCTCTGTTTCGGCCACGTGTGAGGGGCTGTGAGTACACACATGGCCAAAACAGAGAAGGTACTCTCTTAATGCTTGCTGAAGAAGAAAGTGAAAGAGTTTTACCCACTTTACGGCCTGTACCAAATGTTGTTGAAAAGGACCTCTCCAGACGGAGGAACGATTGTTAAAGCTTCTGAACAGGCTCCCTGGATATTCCCCAAGAACCCTTAGGGTGCATTTGAGTCCACAGGGGAGCTGGCAGTAAGAACGCACGGGGCATGACTTTGGAGTGCAGCTGGATTAATTCTTCCCAGCTGCTCATGTGAAAAACCTTCCAAAAGCCTCTCAGGGCCCCAGAGTTCACCCCCAGAATGCTGGAGAAGGAAGAAAACTGGACTGTAAATCAATCAGGAGATAAATATACAGAAGTTCTTCCTCTGTCCTCGTATGGCTGAACCTCTTTGAGACTCAGATTCCTTATCAGTGAAAAGAAGGACTTAGGCCAGATAAATTCTGAGGTGCCCTGAGCTCCCACATTCGAGGATGTCGTTCCAGTGGTCACCCCATGGGGCTGCTTTCCAATCTTAACATTCTGCTGCCTAGGCAGGAAGTGAGTCACAGAACTGTACAATTCAAATCAGCAGACAGAAAAGCAGGTACATCTGTTATTTAGTTAACAATAGAACAGAGACACTGATGTGCCTGGTGTCTTGGCAACTTGAGACTGCGGAAGGGCGCTGCGACTCCCACATGAAAAAGCTGGCCATGGTGTTTTGAGAAAACTGCAGCAGGGGGGCTGGATTTGTGGCTCATGAGCCAGGGTCAAATTCCAGTAAGAAGCCTCCTTCCCTACTTGAAACAACCTTACGTGGTTTCAACTATTAATGGGCCTATGTTAAGAAAACTTGTGAATAAACATTGCCTGCATTTAACTAAACAAGGAACACAAATGATGAGCAATACTATAAGTTTTAGCCCAGTAGCTCACTCTGAAGGCACTAGCATGTGTGTTCTGGCCACATGGGATGCTCTTCTTATGTTTCTCTCAGCTATGAGTGGTAAAGACCTAGGTAAATGTTTTAAAATATTAATTAAAAGGCAGCATTTCTTCTAAAAAATAATGCCATTCCCCTGGAAGTGACCTCCTTTCTAGGTATTAATACACTTTTTCAAAAAAAGCCTTTGAAGAGAGGTTGAGCTCAAGAATGGCAGCTTGAGATGCTGAGAGAGAAACAAGCCCCACTTTCAAGACAGGCAGGATGATGAAGCACATTTCAAGCCAGCAGATAGGCAGGACTCAGGTTACGGCATATGTCAGCCTTCCTCCAGCAGAATGTTTCTGCCTGAAAAAGCTCTGATGAAAACAGAGCAGAATGACTAATGAAGATAGAAGGCTCTGTAGGAAACACTACTCACATATGGAAGTCTTTCAAAGTCAGAGCAATTGGCACTCACATGTACGACACAGTCTCTAGAGTGAAGCCTTTGTTTTCCTTTTAAGCTTTCTCTAAACAAATGCTCACTTGCATAGGCCCCGTCCCTAGCACAAACCTGGCAAGCTCCCCGGTGACCCACGACAGAAAACCTGCTTCAGTGCAATGCTGGGGCTGTCCCAAATTACTCTCTGAAAGCCCCCTATGTAGTAAGGCTTTAGTGTTATCTGTGAAATAAATGAAGCTTTAAGACTGGAGGGAGAATCCGATCAGCTAGAATCTGATGGCTCTAGCTCTGCTGGCAAATGGCTGTTCCCACTTGGACAAATGAGGTGCTGTCACACAGGAAAATGTGTGAGGAATCGAAGTCTCTCTACTACTATAGAGGAGACAAAAAGTACCTTGGTGCTCTCTCGCATATCTTCAAAAAGTTCCGTCTTGAAGAAGGTGCCGTTAAGGGAAACAGTGGAAGACGGCTCTGAGTCACGGAGTTCTGACAAGGTCAAAGCACTGAGCTGTTCTTCCAGGGAAAGGACGAGACCTTCACCCTTCAGTTCCATTGGATCCAGGGCCTGAACAAATAAAAAAGGACAGGAGCGGTTGGAAGTCAAGGCAGCAAACCTTGTTACTTGTTGATGATGTTCTGATAGTTTAACACTTCACAGACAAAATGTCTTGTAATTTGTCAGCAGTAACTCCTCAAGACACCTTGATTAAAGTGTGATCTTGCAAGTTTTTTCACCAGATTAAAGATAAACCCAATGATGGAACTTTTTAAAGACTTGCCAGGCAGATGACATAATCATTCTATTTTTCCAAGCTAGAATATAGTTAGTTGAGATATTGATAATCAGAATACATTATTACAGCTCCTCAAATGAATAAAATACTCCTCTTAATTTTGGATGTGCCTCTATCCAATGTAGAGGCAACTTTTCAGTTTGTATAACTATCTGAGTTTTTATAACTGGAACCCAAAACTCCAATACTGCCTGAAAGCAGAAAACCCCGAGAACTAAATTAGCTTTGTAACATTCTGAAGTACCAGAGCATTCACAAAAGGCTTCTTTTTAAACAAAATGTCATTTTCCTTTCTTAAACAGTTAATCTAAAACAAAATAAACAATAGAAATACACTATTCTTGATGCCATAGGAATTATCAAGATTAATATGACATAAAGCAAAATAAATAAGCCCCCTTTTCTCCAACCCACCAAAAAAACAAAAACAGAAAAACCAACACAGCATTTCCTTTGATCAAGCAGACTGGATTCCAGTTGGAGGAGAGTGAAACTGACTCCTCGGTGGCCCCTCTGGAGCACTACATGACAGCAGGCTGAGGGCTTTTCTTACCGACTTCAGTAAAGAAAGATGACAGCAACACTGGCGCAGTCTCAGCAACTGGGACAGTATGTGGACGGTGCTGGATCTCGGTGAGTCTGCTGCCTCAGGGTGTCTAGGCTCCTCGGACCCAAACTCCAGTGCCACTTCCAAGAGGGAAGACAAGCCACAGGATGGTACGGGATTTAAAAGAGAAATACAGAGAGAGCTGGGAACTACACGGGGCTACTTTAACTGTGTTTGATCTCAGACTCAATAATATAGTTATCACTCACTTCCATGCCAATTAGGCCAAATGAAATATCGGTTTTCCTTATAGAACTACCTGCCTTTTAATAAAGCAGATTTAGGGAACAATTAAAAAGAAGTTAAACAAACACCAGATCTCATGTTCACAGATCAGTAGATTTTACTCTGGTTTGAGGGTCTTAGTTAAGGTCAAATCTCTGATACCAGGGATTCATAACCTCACATTTCTGTGTTTCACTGAATCCAAATCCCCATTATCATCAGTCATATGTATTTATGAGAGTTCTACAGCTTACCTCTATTGAATGGATTATTAGGGCTTCTTCCAGATTGGTTGCCTCTACTTTCATGCCTTTTTAGATAGGACTGCAGAGCTGACCTGCCTCAGATTAAAAAGAAAAAAAAAAAGAAATGCAGGTATAATGGTCAGTAAGACCTGCTTAACTGTGCCTGCAGTGGGATCTTGACAAATTATATAAGTGGACTTGTTAAATGATGCCAAGCTCATAAGAAGTAATGGCCAAAGGTAATGCAAAAGAGTTATTTTAAAAAACCAATCTTTTAAAAAAAATAAGCTAATAAATATAAGGTGTAAAAGAAGAAAAAAAATATTTACATTAGAAACGTAAATGAGAGGTACCAAATAGGAGACAGTAAATCTGGAATTCAGGGAAGGATAAGAGTTCAAGAGACAGTGCAAAGAACAGATGACACAAAGGATTAAAGTAGTCTCTTTAAAGTTCCAGTGAGATGCTGGCTGACAGGTCAAATGTCGAAGAGAGATCATCATTCAGTACAGCCCCATGAGGACCAGGCAGATTGAGTATATGGTGACCACACCCTATGCTATGCAAAGAAGTCAATGAAGAGTAGATTCAAAATGTTGCCTTCCATGTGTGTATGAGACAGAGGTAAGTTGGGGAGGGGAGAAGCAGAAAAATGGAGTAAAAAAAAAAAGGAATACAGACATCCAACTAATCAATAATGCCACAAATAAAGTTTGTGGAAATTTGACCTTCAACTCACTCCCAAGAAAAGACAGGAATAAAACAGTGTGTGTGAGAAGGTGCTTCTTTAATACACACACCTTGATCTTGCAAAAAACACATTGTAAACAGTCTCTTCATCTTCAGAAAGCTTTAAATGGTGCAACTGAAATTTACGCTGGGGCAGTATCACCTGGAAGAACAAACAAAAAAAAAGCTGGCATGAAGCTATATGAATTACCTATTACAGAAGAAATTCCCCACATACTGACACTGCAGAGCTAGTCAACCCCTGGAATGCAGCTTCCACCCTTTCTTAAACACAGGACTGCTCCAACATACAGTACAACTGGATTGCTGTGACACTAGGCAAGGAACTGCAACCCTGGGGCCTCCTCACAGGAGGATGGGAGAGTCAGAGGCTCCTGAAGCAAAGCAGATGGCTGTTCAACCCAAGACAAGGACACAGTCATGCTCCTTCCCGGCCTCCCCCAGGGACAGGTATAAACTTGATTACCAAAGGTCTGCCAGTAGAGTCCAGCTGGTCTTTTGTTCTCCTCAGCAAAAGGCTCTTGGTTAAAATACTTAACCGTTCTCCTCCTTTCTTTGAGCCATTGTCAACCTGACTCCTCCACAGATTGAACTCATCAAATGGAGAGCAACGGAGAAATCTTTTTTGTTGAGGAAGAAGGGCACAGAATAGGGAAGGAGAAGTCAGGGAGAATGGAATAAAAGTTCAAAGTAAGATGTAAGATGAAACACAAATCAGATTTTCTGTTACATCTGTCATCCAATCACTTTAAAAAGTGAATTTCATAGCAAACCTCTGCTGGACAGATCAAAAGGATGTAAGTCAATAACAAAACCACATTATAAAAATGTGAGTTTTCCTAGTAACAACACCTACGTTGTCACAACAAGACATATAACCAACAGCTAGGATTTGTTCCTCAAGCTACAGGGGCTAAGAAAGAAATTTCACATCCTATTATGGCTGACTCGAATAAAAATAAGTATTTTATTTATTTTTAATTTTTTTCTTGAGAGACTGAGGTCTCACTCTGCCACCCAGGCTGGAGTGCAGTGGCATAATCCTAGCTCACTGCAACCTTGAACTCCTGGGCTCAAGCGATCCTCCTGCCTCAGCCTCTCGAGCAGCTGGGACCACAGGTGCACACCCCTGTACCTGGCTAATTTTTTAATTTTCTTGTAGAGATGGGGTCTCATTTTACTGCCCTGGCTAATCTTGAACTCCTGGCTTCAAGCAGTCCTCCCACATCAGCCCTCCAAAGTGTGGAGATTATAGGTATGACCCACTACACTCAGCCAAAAGGAAATATTTTAAAATCAGCATTCTTTTCTGTTTGCTTCAAATAAATTGTAGTGCTGGCCCTAGACCATATGTTTTAAAGCAGAAGTAGCCGAAAACATTCACTGGACTCAAGAATAATTTAATTCAAGCTGTCCTATATGTTTGCATATTTATAAGGGCTGAATGTAATCAAAGTCCTATATCAACCAATCAACAGCTATTTTCTCATAAATATTTATTCTTTTGTCCTTTAAAGGTTGACAGGCTTGCCATCTGCTAAACAAGATAATCTGGCACATACTAAGGCTTTATTATGAGACATGAAATAATGATGAAGGGATACAGACAGGAGTCATATTTACACAATCACAAGAAGTTACTCACTTCAGCAGTGAATACATATCCAATAAGTTGTTTTGAATGGGGGTTCCAGTGACAGCCCAACGGGCACAGGCTTGTAGCTTACACACAGCTATGGATGTCTGCACTCGGGGATTCTTAACATTGTGAGCTTCATCCAATATGATTCGAGCCCAGGCTATTTGAAGCAAAGGTGTTGAGGTGCGCTGGAAGAATCACAAGTGAAATCTAGCCACAGTATGGGAAAATGTACATGTCCTCAAGGAAACAAGGGGAACTAGCAGCCAAGTATGGAGGACCCACCTTTACCTTTAAATTTGCATAGCTCAGGTACACTGAAATAAGAATTAAGAAACCTAAGAGTAAAACCTCTCAACTGGTTCAAATAAATAAGTCATTTGAGAGTCTCAGTCTTTGAACATAAGATGGCTAAGAGTAAAATGTTTTCAAATTTGAGTTTTCTTTTATTCTTTAAATCCACACTTAAGCAATGGCTGTAGACCAGGACTACACTAGGAATTGAACCTGCAAATTCACTCACTCAATAAAATATTTACTAAATTTACTAAAAATTTTCCAAAAGTCTACTTTTAGATGTGAGATGCTAAGCCAGATATAAAAAACAGTTCCTACCCTCAAGAGCTCAAAATCTAGCAGGGGAGAAAAACAAGTGTAAAGATAATTACAATATGATGTAGATACAGTAAGTCCTACTGTCTAATTCAATACCTGAAGTGGGAATCTGGCTGCTCTTGACCAGACAGCACCTGACCCATAGCAGATACTCAACGTCTGCTGAAGAAATAAAGCGCTACAACTTATATAAGCACAAGGTGCTGGCAGAGGCATTCAAATTGGGGGAAGGTGGGAAGGGAGTGGTCCAGAAAAGATTCCTGAAGCAGGTTTAAAAAAATTAACCTGGGAGAAGCAGTGGAGGCAAAGCATTTCATTCGGAGGGAGAACAGACACAACGCTGTGACAGAGCATGGCGGGAACTACAGATCCCTTGGTATGACTGAACACGAGGTGCCCCGGAGAGGGGCAGGGTGTCAGAGAGATGAGCCACAAACAGGGCAAGATCATAAAGAGCCTAATACGGCCGGGCGCGGTGGCTCATGCCTATAATCCCAGCACTTTGGGAGGCCGAGGCGGGTGGATCACTTGAGGTCAGGAATTCGATACCAGCCTGGCCAACATGGCGAAACCCCATCTCTACTAAAAATGCAAAAAATTAGCCGAGTGTGGTGGCGGGCACCTGTAATCCCAGCTACTTGGGAAGCTGAGGCAGGAGAATCGCTTGAACCTGGGAGGCGGAGGTTGCAGTGAGCCACGATTGCACCATTGCACTCCAGCCTGGGCAACAGAGTAAGACTCTGCCTCAAATAAATAAATAACTAAAGCCTAATACATCATGAAAAGAAATTTAGGGTTTATCCCAAAAGCAATGGAAAATCAGTGAGCAATCTGAAAATTTCATCATCTGTAAGTCACAGTTGATTATAAGCCGGAGAGATGTTCTCTCTAGAGATCTCTCCAAATAAAGAAACCTGTGAATATACTGTTGGGCTAAAAGGATAACATACGGAAAGATGCGTTCTTGGGATGACATTGTATTTTCAGAGTATAATTCCACGATAAAGCCTCTACATCACATAACTGAGGCTGCCCTGGACCCCCTAGAAGACCCTCAGGTCTTCACAATTGTCACTTAGCCTCTGGCCCATTATAGCCCTATTATTTGCAACCCTTTTTTTCTGGGAAGTAAAGGGAGGCAGGGAATGATGGCTTAAAATCAAAATACTAGTAGTAAAATGCTAGTCTGTGCAATCAATATTAAAAATATCAAATACTCTAAAATAAAAATAGCAACAAGTGAGGCTTTCATTTATTCAGGTGATTACCCCCACAAATACAATGTAGTCATCTTTCGTTCTAAAAGGCAGGTGAATCCTGTGGCATATGCTGACCTTTATAACTGAGGTGGTTGTCTGGAATAAGGGCGATGGGATAGAGGAAAGAACAATTCCTTTCCACATGCAGATCATTTACTGCATTCCTGACCCCCAGGGAGGTCCTCTTGCTATCAAAGAGGCTGTGAAACACTCCCATTAAACCATCTGTGGCTCCAACTCCACTTCCCTGGCCGCCCCCCAGCCTCACCTCCACACTGAGGTTTGCACCTGGGATCTCTGCCTCTTGCTTGTTTGTGGGAATCTCCTTGGCCACGAGGCTATAGGTAGTGATCACGATGTCATATGTAGAGAGGCTGCATAGACATAACAAAGAAATCAATAAATGGTCCCACTATAGAGTGACAATGAGAGGGACAGAGTAATCTTTCAATAAAAATGCCTACAAATGGAACTCATTAACTCGTGTCCTTAACACACACACACACACACACACACACACACTTTTGGAGGTAAATTTTACCCACTTCGTTTCCCTATCTTTTACCTCTGATCATTTACCACCTGCTCTCTATAGCTACCACAGCCTCCCTCTTACCATCCAGTGAGTCAGAAAGAAAAATCTCTGGCTGGGATAATATAATGCTTGATATGATCTGGCCAGAACAGAAAGTAGGATAGAGTTGGGAATTAACATTTAATCATGATTTGAGATGGATGACACCAAAGTCCAGGGGAGAAAGATACCCTCAGAGCACTGTTCACCTTATTTCAATGCTGCTTTCTTTCCACCACTCTATAATGGATTTGTGAAAATTCACTGATCTAGTTTGACATTAGGATATAAAAATACATGCTGTAAGCTTTCAGTGTATCTTGCTTATACTTGTTACATACAAAGATTCTTAATGAGAAACACAAATCTTTTTCCAGTGAAGCTTAATATTGTGAGAACTTCAATAAATACTTTATTTATTTTTGAGACAAGGTAGGGTCTCACTCTATCCTGTCTCAAAAGTAAAGTAATAAAGTATTTATGGAAATAAAGTAATTAAAATTCTGCTAATCATAGATCAAGCCAAGTTTATATTAAAAGGGAAAAAATGATCACTTATAATTATCAGACTCAGCATCAGAAATGATATGATAGGTGAGTAACCTACCCTGGTCACCCAGGCTAGAGTGTAGGGGCATCATCTCGGCTCACTGCAACCTCCACCTTCCAGGCTCAAGCGATTCTCCTATCTCAGCCTCCCAAGTAAATGGGACTACAAGTGCACACTGCCACACCCTGCTAATTTTTGTATTTTTGGTAGAGATGGATTTCACCATGTTGCTTAGGCTGGTCTGGAACTCCTGACCTCAAGTGATCCGCCTGCCTCGGCCTCCCAAAGTGCTGGGATTACAGGCATAAGCCACCATGTCCAGCCCTAAGAGAACCTCAATAAATGCTTTTGATAAAAATGATATGCCTGATTCAGAGAGGCAGCAGTGTCTATAAGTTACCCTAGCATCATATAAAGAAGTGTAATTGAGAATGATTTTAATCGGTCAACTAGTATATTTTAAATACCAAACAAGTTATGCTCAAAGTAAAAATCAAGTGAGATTCAATTTATTTCTAACTAAAAATTTAGAACAAAGGCAGGTAACTCACAGTAATCTATGCCAGGGAAGGCCTGCAGGCCTGCCACTGCCACCCTGATGCGTTTTGCCTGCAGAAGCGACTCTCAGTCATGAGAACTGGTGTGTCATAGACAGAGGGGCACCAATCTAACAACTTACTCCTGAAAGACTGCTGCCCTGTTCTTTAGGAGATAAAATATCCAGATTAGAGGCTGGGGAGAGAAATTACTTAGAAGCAAAAATAACTTTGTTCTCATCCTTGACTACAGCAGCCAGTATTCAACCTAGATCTTCACTTCGCTATTAAGAACAGAAAACAATTCCTTTAAAACCAAAAGACAAAGACTAAGACTAAGACTGCCACGTGGGGAAGCATTTTCTTTCCTCCTTTCTGAGCATCCCTCTTCAAGAATTTACAGTTAGCTCTAATCATCCTAAATTATTGAGTCTAAAGCATCTTAGATGGTTCATATATTAAAAAGTCATAAAAATATAATCAACCTATAGCAACTAATCATTAGCATTCCATCAAGATGCTCTGTAGAACTGGGCTGGTTCCATTCACACTACATACACCTGGAATGAGAAGTCCAGCAGCCATGAGGGCCTTGCGAAACATCTCTTTTGACTAGGGGAATGCTGCTGCCACCTGACTGGCAGCTCAGGCATCTCAGGCCTCCTCACAGGGCAGCTTTCATTGAGGACAATGACAAGGACAGCAAAAGATCACCAATAGACCTCAGGATACAAGGCAAAGGCTATATGGTGACGAGACTGAAGATCTGTCTTTGGCCTTCACGAATATGCTTCCTGATTAAGTGAAATCTCGGGCGGGGAGTAAAGGCCCACAGGCCCTTGAGCAGAGGTGCTGAATGGCCCCACAACTGCGTATTCCTGCACTTACACTCTGGCACGTGAATCCCGGTTTGGCCCATGGTAGAGATAGACTCTTAGTTTGTTGCTGTTCACCCGTTTCTCCACCTCATTTTTCCAATGATGGATCAGGGAGGCAGGACAGATGATTAGTGTTCCATGGGAAGTCAACTCAGAAGAGTCTTGAGAAGGGAAAAAAAATCAGTGCCTAGTTACATATACCAAATGGCTTTTAACTTTTTTTTTTTTTTTTTTAAATATATGGAGACATGGTCTTGCTGTGTTACCCAGGCTGGTCTCGAACTCCTAGGCTCAAGTGATCCTCCTGCCCTAGCCTCCTTCAGTGGGATTACAGGCGTGAGTCACCGTGGTTGACCAGCCTTTAACTTAAAGGCATTACCTCTTCCTCCTGACTGACTTTACTCCTTCAGTTAATATGTTTAACCATTGCTCTTATTTCTATACAGAGCCTACAGTGAAATAGGAAATGGAAGAAATGGTCTTTTTTTTTTTTTTTTTTTTATGTTATTTGTTTTTTGAGACAGAGTCTCACTCTGCCGCCCAGGCTGGAGCACAGTGGCCGGATCTGAGCTCACTGCAAGCTCCGCCTCCCGGGTTCACACCATTCTCCTGCCTCAGCCTCCCAAGTAGCTGGGACCACAGGCGCCCGCCACCTCGCCCGGCTAGTTTTTTGTAGTTTTTAGTAGAGACGGGGTTTCACTGTGTTAGCCAGGATGATCTCGATCTCCTGACCTCGTGATCCACCCGTCTCGGCCTCCCAAAGTGCTGGGATTACAGGCTTGAGCCACCGCGCCCGGCCAAGAAATGGTCTTTTAAACTGAAACACTTAATTATTTATTTTCTCCGCTAAAAGTACAGGCAGAAAGAGAGGCTAAATAGGGGGAGGAAAGTGGGTGGCACATGACCTTAGTGTGAAAAAGGAATGTGCTTTCAGAGTGGCTGGAGGTGAAAGCTGGATCATTTCCTAACTCCTCTTGAGTTGATTCATTATACAGGCGTATGGAGTATTGTTATATTTTCTGAAAAGCATAACTTACTGTATGTACTTCTACCTTAAAATTAAGTACAGAAACCTTTTTTAAAAAATAAGCAAACATTGGTTTGGAACCAATTAGTGATGATTTGTTTGTACCATGGCCCCTCATCTCTGCGTGTGTATGCCTGTGCTACTCACACATGCTGCTACTACCCACAAAGGGATATAGGACCCAGCTGCAACAGTGCTCATTAGAGGCCCTGAGAGCAGATGCCATAGATTTTTGATCTATCTAAGCAACTGAGAACTGTACTCAAATACATGGCAACTTACATGTAGTATTATCTATACATAACATATTCAATCTTTAAAGTACTTGTAAAGTTCTTACTTTTTATTTAATTTTTTTTTAAGAGACAGTGTCTTGCTATGTTGCCCAGGTTGGCCTCAAGCTCCCAAGCTCAAGCGATTCTCCTGACTCTCCTCCCTCAATTGGGACTACAGGTGCGTACCACTGTGCCTGGCTAAAGTTACTACATTTTAAAAACATTTGCTAAGATAGAAAGTGTCTATAATCTAGAACTTCTAGAATTTCAGAAACATGGAAAATAGCTTCCACTATAGTGATTAAAATGTGAATTTGTGACAGATCTTCCTTTAAAAAAATTAATTTGAATCTACCCTGTGGTTATTTCCCCAATATTTACAAAAATAATAATTATTGGCCAGGCATGGTGGCTCACACGTGTAATCCCAGCACTTTGGAAGGCTGAGGCAGGATGACTGCTTGAGCCCAGTTGTTTGAGACCAGCCTGGGCAACACGGTAAGGCCCTGTCTCTACAAAAAAATTTAAAAATTAGCTGGGTGTGGTGGTGCACACTTGTGGTCCCAGCTACTTGGGAGGCTGAGATGGGAGGATCGCTTGAGCCCAGGAGGTTGAGGCTGCAGTAAGCTGTGTTCATGCCACTGCCCTCCAGCCTGGGCAAGAGAGCGAGATTCTGTCTCAAAAAATAAGAATTATTATTATGCTTAAATTAAGTGTTCTAGAGCCTCACCTTTCTCCATAAAATTCTGCCTAGTTTATATTAAAAGGGAAAAAATGATCACTTATAATTAGTATACTCAGCATCAGAAATGATACGATAGGTGAGTAATCTAATACTGATTTTCCAGTAGAATAATTAAATATGACCAAAGGTATCCTTTTTTAGCTGAAAACGTTCCCCTCTTGGGTGGCTCAAATGACGTAGGGAATGGCAGGCTATTAAGGCACTTCGGTCTACCATCTTTGGAGAGCCATGTCAAAGCTGTGCTTTTCTCCTTTTCTTTCTTTTTCTCTTGATTCTTCTGGGTCAGGATGAGTGCAATCATTGTCAGGGTTTTTCCTAAGCCCATATCATCCGCTAGAAAATAAAAGCAAAATTAAGAGAGTTAATTGCTTAGGGCAAAGAATCAACCCTACTTCAAGAGGAGAAACCACTGGCAGACATTTACCCCTTGTTCTCTCTGCTGTCAGTGCCACTCCAGTCACTACTCTGTGCCCACCTTAATGGCTCCTTTATCTTCCTTATTCAGCGGAACCCTAGCACTTGCTCTTTGAGATCTAGGTCCAAGACATTTACTATGAGTCTTGTAAAATTTAAAACTTACCATTTGAATCTTATTCTAGTCCCTATGTTATGTTGTTACCTGCACAATGTGCAGTATCTATTACAGTTTGATGATCCGTTACCTCCAAAAGTAAAAAATGTCCAGTAGATATATCCTACTACTTACTTTACCAGTACCAGAACATTCCTGGAGTTACAATAGCCTTCCATTCCCTTAACTTACTCATCAAAAAAGGACATAAATGAACATCTCTTGGGTACTGTCGTTGTACCAATCACTGAGCTTATCTAATTTATTATTCATACTCTACAGAGTACTGTTATCCTCATTTTAACAGACTGCAATCCTGACCCACTCAAAATAATCATTCTGCCATAACAGAAGTAGAATGTCAGAGCATGGGCTCGGTTTTAATTCTGGCCCTGCTACTGTCCAGAAAAAGAATGAACATAGCAGGCCCCTAGGCCTGTCTGCTATCCTTTGAAAGGCCTGCTTACAAGGTTGCCTCTGGAAACTCGGATGTAAGGTAAGAGTTGATCACTCTGCCTAAATTGTTTTGTACAAACAATATGGTTTATGTTGAACACCTGCTTTCCTTCTAGGAGCAGGAAAACTTAGTATATACCAAGCTGAAGCCACCTATGTAACCAGCCCCCAGTAAAAACCTTGGGCATTAAATCTCTAATGAGCTTCCTAGGGAACATTGAACGCCTGTTGTCACAACTCCCTGCTGGGAGAATTAAGCATATCCCATGGGACTCCACTGGGAGGATATTGGAAGCTTGTACCTGGTTTCCCCTGGATTTTGCCCCTGCGACTTTTCCTTCTGTTGATTTTGATCTATATCCTTTCACTGTAATAAATCATAGCTGTGAGTATGACCATATGCTGTGTCCTACTAGCAAATCATCGAACCTGGGGGTGGTCTTGAGGACCACTGACACAGTCACTTACTAGCCATAGTGGACATCTATCATGGCTTCTGAAAATTGAACACCTTAGAAAATTTTAGCCTGACAAGTCACCAAAGCAGAGTGGAAAACTTGCTTTCTGGTTTCTGTTGCAACTAAGGCACTAGCAATATGACCTAGCTCTATATATCAGATGTACTCATAAACGTCTTTAATTCAGGTATAAGCAGTTTTAGAAAGAGACTCCCTGTGAAATCCTTTCTGCAGGAAAGAGTGGCTATAGAAACAACTGACTTTGGGGTGGCACTGGTTGCCTCTAGCACTTGGTGAAGCAAAGGAGCTATGATGCTTTTTATAGACTACTGTTAGGCTGGGCGTAGTGGCTCACACCTGTAATCCCAACACTTTGGGAGGCCAAGGCGGGTGGAGCACCTGAGGTCAGGAGTTAGAGACCAACCTGTCCAACATGGCGAAACCGTATCTCTACTAAAAATACAAAAAATTAGCCAGGCATGGTGGCACAGGCCTGTAATCCCAGCTACTCGGGAGGCTGAGGCAGGAGAATCACTTGAACTTGGGAGGTGGAGGTTGCAGTGAGCCGAGATCGCACCACAGCACTCCAGCCTGGGCAACAAGAGCGAAACTCCATCTCAAAAAAAAAAAAGAGGGAGGCAATAGACTACTGTTTGTGTGTTGACTGTAGCCATGGCTCCTGAAATTGGCCTTGAGCCTGGCACTCCATATCTCCCAGAGATTGTGGGGGCCGCCAAAAAATAAACTCCTCCTCTATTTAATCAGCCAGTCAGCTTCTACTGCTGGCAACCAAAATCTTTGATCCTACAACTGAGTACTCTTGAGCAAGTTGCTTAACACTTCCACGCTTCACTTTCATCACCTGTAAAATGAGGAATAATAGTACCTGCCTCATAGAGTTCTTGAGAGAATTAAATAAAACAACACTATGTGTTTAGCACAATGCCTAAGCATTCAATAAAGGCTGGCTCTTATAATACCACACTTACCCAGAATTCCTCCTTGTGGCTTCTGACTTTCCCGCCACAGTAACCAAGCCAATGCCTGCTTCTGGTGTAGTAACAAAGGGACCTGACAAAAGTAATAACCAAATGCTAAGCATAAATTCCTAATGAGAGGCTACGCCAAGCCTGGCTATACAAACTCTACACTCTACTCTTTCATTTTCTGCAAGTGATCCCCTCAGTATTCTAACTGTCCTCATGTAGACCGTTCATTTCACCTTGAAGTCCTTACCAGCACCCTCTCTTAATAGAAATGCCTAACCTTAGACGCAACCATACTGTCCTGGTCTGCCCCTGTTTGTTTTGGGTTGCATCTAATGTTAGGCATTTCTACTAAGAGTCCCCCTACACCCCAAGTGAGAGTCCTGATTTGTCTGCTTATCACTCAAAATCCACCTCTATAGTTTTTGTGGTTTTTTTTTTTTTTTTTTTTTTTTTTTTTTTTTTTTTTTGAGATAGTCTCGCTCTGTTGCCCAGGCTGGAGTGCAGTGGCGTGATCTCAGCTTCCTGTAGCCTCCGCCTCCCAGGTTCAAGCAATTCTCCTGCCTCAGCCTCCCAAGTAGCTGAAATTACAGGTGCATGCCCGGCTAATTTTTGTATTTTTAGTAGAGATGGGGTTTCGCCATGTTGGCCAGGCTAGTCCTGAACTCCTGGCCTCAAGTGATCTGCCTGCCTCGGCCTCCCAAAGTGCTGGAATTACAGGTGTGAGCCCCTGCGCCCAGTTCTATGCTTTTAACAGACCTGTGACTCTACTTTCAGCAGCCATTACATTGGCTTTTCATCATTTCCTCATTATCTCTTAAATTTGCCTCTCCTTTCTGCAGCCAATGTCCCAGTCTGCACTACTGGTCATAAATTTCAAAAGCCTTTTGACCAGAGTCCCCCTTCTAGTCCTTCTGTACTCCAGTTTACCTTGTACTTTGTGAGAGAAACTAATCCTCATCGGCCATCCCTGCTTAAATGCTACAGCGATTCCACAGTATATCTTGAGCTATTCAGATCTAATCCTTCACCAACGCCAGGCTCCTACTCAGTAACATCACCTGCTACTGCTGGCTCAGGTACTGATGACACCTGATCACCACTTCTGAATACCAATCTCTTTATCTTCCCACTAGTCACCACTCCTCTAATTGCGGTGTTTTGTTCCTTTCCTCTCTGCTATCTAAAGGCTTTCAATTCCTTTAAGGCACAAAGTAGGCAGACAACAAATAACCACTGACCTAGAGTGATGTTTCCTTTATTCTGAATCCCTTTTGTACTTTATAGTATATTACAAGGTACAACTTATTTCTGCCTTAAAGCCTTTGCTAACTGTCTTATATATATATTGTATATGTATTTTCACCCCAACTAGTTCATTACAAGCAGCAATTCTTTCACATTCTTGTGGCACCTACCAACTCAACAAATGGATCCTTTACTGCTACAGAAATACGTAACTTTATGACTTTTTAAAAAAGGAGTTTTGTTGTTATTGTTTGGCTGTTAAGCATAAAAGGAGAGGATTCTGCAAGGGAAGGCATTCAAGCATCTATCTGTAGGAAAGGTATCTCAGAAAGTGTCTCTGCAGCAGTTTCATGGGGCTGCTGGAGCACTGTCGTAGGGGACTGCACCGGGAGTCTTCCCTGGCTCACCTTCAGCCCAGCGGGATCTTCCGCAACAGCCGTCTCACCAGGACATGACTCAAGTGAGCGATGCAGCTGATCGATGGCTTCACTTGTGATTTTCCACACTGCGTGAACGTGATCTTGGTTTGTATGGCGTGCGTACAAATAGGTGTTACCTAAAAGATGTCACAAGTATGTTTTCTTTATCCCTTTAGAGTGAACTTATCTAGAAATGGCCCTGTATTTATTTCTTACCCTCCTTGTTAACTACTCTCCTCAACTTTCCACTTCTCTAAGAGTTCTCCATTGGGAGGCAACTGGCTTTTGCTTTTCTAGTCACTGCCAGCCAACCCAAGCTCCTATTTCCTGATCAGTCTCCTGTCAACTGATCCTATTACACATTTCAGGCTCTACTTGGAATCTTCATTCTGCAGTTACCTCTGAATTCAAAGTTGCCTAGAAAGTTCAGGAAGGAAACACTTAGCTAATAGGGTGTTATTGCTCTCTGTGGATCTATTAGTCTTCAGTCTTGACTCATGTCTCTCCTCGGTCTTACACACACTTACATACACACACACACTCTCCTCGGTCTTACACACACATACACACACACACTCTGCTCGGTCTTACACACACATACACACACACACACTCTCCTCGGTCTTACATACACACACACACACTCTCCTCGGTGTTACACTTACACACACACACACACACTCTCTCCTCGGTCTTTTTTTTTTTGAGACGGAGTCTCGCTCTGTCGCCCAGGCTGGAGTACAGTGGCCGGATCTCAGCTCACTGCAAGCTCCACCTCCCGGGTTTACGCCATTCTCCTGCCTCAGCCTCCCGAGTAGCTGGGACTATAGGCGCCCGCCATCTCGCCCGGCTAGTTTTTTTTGTATTTTTTTAGTAGAGACGGGGTTTCACCATGTTAGCCAGGATGGTCTCGATCTCCTGACCTCATGATCCGCCCGTCTCAGCCTCCCAAAGTGCTGGGATTACAGGCTTGAGCCACCGCGCCCGGCCTTCTCCTCGGTCTTACACACACTTACACACACTCTCCTCGGTCTTACACACACACACACACACACACTCTCCTCAGTCTTATACACACACACACACACACTCTCTCCTCGGTCTTACACACACACACACACCTCGGTCTCACACACACATACACACACACACACACACTCTCCTCGGTCTTACACACACACACACGAAGGAATAAGAGCATATCTGCAGGTCTGCCTACCTCATAATGATGCGAGCGAAGAGTTTTCATCCACAAATGCTGACTGGATGACTCCTGCGTGCAAGCCACTGGGCTGACTAATCAGCATGCAGTGGTGAACAAGGTAGACACAGTCTGTGCCCTCACAGAAAGCTAAGTAACACAATGCAAAGCTCTACTGAGCTGCACAATCTTTATTATATGGGCAACTTACGACTTAAGAATGGCTTCTCCCCTCATGTGGGCACAAAGACATCTACAGTAGTCCCTCCTTATCCACAGGGCATATGTTGTAAGACCCCCAGTGGATGCTTGAATCTGTGGATGGTACTGAACCCTATACACACGATGTTTTGTTTTGTTTTTTTATTTTCCCACACATTCATACCTATTTTAAACTTTAATAAATTAGGGACAGGAAGAGTTTAACAATAATAACAAAATAGAAAAATTATAACAATATACTGTAATAAAAGTTATGTGAATGTGGTTTCTGTATCGTTCTCCCTCCAAATATCTTACTGTACTGTACTCACCTCTTTTTGGACCACAGGTGACCAAGGGTAACTGGAAGTGTGGATAAGAGGTGACTACTGTACCAGGTGGCACGTAACTCACAGGGGTGGCTATTCACAGCAGGGCCAGGCCCTTGGGTCTTACCTTGATAACACTGACTGGATCCTCCAGCAGTCACCTGGCAGGCAGACTTTAGTTCTAGAGAACCCACGGGTTGGGTACCACAACCAGGAAGGGGTTGGGGAGGCACCAGGTGGGGAGGGTCAGTGGTAGTTTCGGTGAAGTGACTCTGCTGTGGCGCTTGACTGTTACTCTTCTCATTAGTTCCTGCTCAGAAAACAAGGGAAGAGCAGATTAAAGTTCAGCAAACTAAGTGAAGGGATCGTATGTGTGGAGGTGAGGTCAAGAGAGAGGGATCATCACCATTCCAGTGAAGGATTCCTAGAGAATGTAGCATTTTAACAGTTGCTTAAACAATGGGGGAAGAAAGTAGAGTCCACAGGAAATAGGAGAAAGGTTTTTTATGAACCATAGGTGTAATGTGAAAGAAGGCTCAGAAGCAGATAATACAATGGAAAAGTGAATGAATCAACACATTCTTTATTAAAAGGGCTTCCAAATGTCTCTTGTAAAGTCCACGCAAACCCGGAGTTCTGAGGCAATAAGCCACTTTACCTTGCTCTGGGGAAAGGGCAAGACCACTGAGCGCTTCCTCCAGCTCCTGGATTTGTTTGATCAACTTCTGACCCTTGTCTGGAAGAGCCTGGATGTTCACTGATGCCAGTGTGCTCTGCAAAACAGATTCCATCAAATGGATCTCTCTTTTCACACTGTTAGATGAATAGTTTCAGATTAAAATAGCCTGAAACGCCCAAACTCTGAAATTATGCTCTTTTAAATATGTGTGTAAAAACCAGAACCTTTTTAAAATTTTAACCCAGCTGGCTTACCAATCTTGAAAATATAAATAGGGGAAAAGGCAGAAACTAAACACACACCTATAAAACCTTCAATATGAACATATTTAACCCTTCTGCAGCAATGAGATTTCATATCTGCCCATAGCAAGCAATGCTCTGACCTCAAAAACAAAACACGAGTCAACAGTTACCTTCTTTTGTTTCAGTTGTGTTGTAAGGTAGACACGGTGGGCTGCTGGGTCTGAGGGCTCCACCTTCTTGGAAACACCTGAGGCCGGAGATACTTTTCTTTGCACACTTCGATCAGGGAATTGGAGGTTCTCCTTCGTCTGTAAGTCCAGAGTCGAGTCAAAGAGTAGGGGGCTCCCAGGCTTAGAGGAAACAAAAACAACATCATCTTCCTCCTCATCGTCACTGCTTGTGGCAGCTTCATGGCCCTCACCCAGGGAAAGCCCTGGTGCTGCTGGTGCAGCCTGAGCCACTGGTCCTCCAGGAGCAGGCACACCGTGGGTCTCCGGCCGCTCTTGGAAATGCCCCCGAGGCAGGCTTTTCTGGGTGGCCTGTGTGCTAGGGCCATCCTTTGCCTTTGTTTCTTTAGCCTCCCAGTTCTTGTACCCCTTGTTGAGGGGTCCCCCTTTCTGGGGCTTGCTTATTGAGCTGTGACTGTGAACGTTTTGAGGCAAAAGCTGGGTATCCTTTTCTCTCAGAGGTTCTGATTCTCTTTGGACATCTTGACTCTTACCACTTGATTTCTCCTGAGAAGATGCAGATGGTCTTGTAAGCTCATTACCTTGGCACTGTTGAGATTTAACTTCAGAAAAGTCTCTTTTGTGTGTGCCTCCAGTCTCCTCTGTCTCACACTGAATCTCTGCTCTCTCCTCTTGCTTCTTCTCTTGAACTACAGATTGTTTTTTCTTTGGTACCAGACCAGATGAGAGATCTTTCTCCATCGATTCAGGCTTCTGTTCTTTCTTTTGATCGAAAAGCTGATCTCCCTTTTCTCTTTGCTTCTTATCAGCCGTCTTTTCCTCACCTTCACCTTTGATGAGCTGTTTCCAGAGAGCTGGTTCTTGATTCTTGTCAAGTACCTTGAATGGATTTCTCAGCCGGCTGGAAGAATGATGAAATATCTCAGATGCATGCTGAGACTTACTGGGGACAGAATGTTCTTTGGAATCAGGATCCTAAAGACAAAATAATTAATCTTCATATAAAATATTAATGCAAATGTCCTATCTAGAATGCCTTTCCTTTTCATCTCATCTTTTATTTTATATACAGGGGGCACACATGCAGCTTTGTTATATGAGTATATCGCACTCAGGCAGCGAGCATAGTGCCCAAGAGTTTCTTAACCCATGCCCTCCTCCCCTCTCCAGTAGTTCACAGTATCTATTGTTCCTATGTTTATGGGTGCTCAATGTTTAGCTCCTGTTTGTGAGAACATATGATATTTGGTTTTCTGTTCCTGCGTTAATTCACTTAGGATTATTCTGCAGAAGAAATGGAAACACAGTAAAAGCAGTCCAATATTTCCTGAACATTCTTGATACCATTTCCACGTCTAGAAAAGATGACATGCCAAACCCACAAAAGACTCATTTCTTCACGGTACTTTCAATGCTTCATTCCTTCTCTGTCCATGATCACGCTTTTCCAGACCTCAAGGAAAAGTAGTAACAAACCAAAGTGCTTTTACAATCACAATGGCCACAGTGTATACTTTTCAGGAAAAAACTGTTCTCTTAAGATGAACTACGGCCAGGCGCTCACGCCTGTAATCCCAGCACTTTGGAAGGCCGAGGCAGGCGGATCACAAGGTCAGGAGATGGAGACCATGGTGAAACCCTGTCTCTACTAAAAATACAAAAAGTTAGCCAGGCGTGGTGGATCACAAGGTCAGGAGATCGAGACCACAGTGAAACCCCGTCTCTACTAAAAATACAAAAAGTTAGCTGGGCGTGGTGGTGAGCACCTGTAGTCCCAGCTACTGAGGAGGCTGAGGCAGGAGAATGGCATGAACCCGGGAGGCGGAGTTTGCAGTGAGCCGAGATTGCACCACTGCACTCCAGCCTAGGCGACAGAGCGAGACTCCGTCTCAATTAAAAAAAAAAAAAAAAAAAGATGAACTTTTCCCCAAACCTAATTGTCTTAAAACACTTGCTTTGATTTTGGCTTTAGGAAGATTTTACTGTGGTAATATAGAATCGTTAAGTTCAAGCCATACCTCTGCCAAAACAAGTCTTATCATCTCCCTGGTTCTAGTTCCTTATGTACTGAATATCTATAGGCCTTCTCCTATTCAGAGGAGACGCTCCTCCTAGTTCGAACATTCTAGGAGCTTATACCAATATCAAGTAGAAATTCCTCTATAAAAAGATACAAGAGTTAGTCAAGGAAATCTATTTTTTTTCTTAAGTAAAAGAATGCTGACTGCATTTAAGACCTCAAATAAATATTTGTATTAGTAAATATTTATATTTACTAAGTGAAATAGGATGCAAATAATTAATCTTGATTACAACCAAATGTTCCTTTGAATTAAAGTCCCAACAGGGCCTACCTTGCTTAAAGAAAACTATCTTTCAGGACAGTCTGATGAAGACCAACTCGTTTATGTGAACTTCAAGGTACTTTCAGGTGATGCTGCATATTAAAAGTCTTAACACAACAGGTTTGAAAACAGATGAATAATTCCTACCTGCCATGGAATACTTCCACACCAGTGTTTCCCCTCTGCCTTACTTCTAATGCATCGGAAGAACAATCTAATGAAGTATAAAACACAAATAATCAAGGCTATGAAAATCCATTAGAACAAGAGATAAGCTTATTTTTAATCCAAGAAAACATCTTGCAACTATTTGATACTGGCTTTGGGAGGTCACTTGAAACCAATTACTTTTATATACACATTTAAAAATTATTTACTGCACAGAACATTTATAAGGGCTAAGAAGTCAAAGAATAAATATGGCATGGTCGCCAGAGAATGCACACAGGTTTATTCTTTTTAGTCTGTAACGAATGACTGAAATAGAAACACTGATCAGCACTAGCTACTAAAATCAGAGAAATGAGAGATAGCCAGACACTGTGTGTCCCTGAAGGGGGGCCACAACACTAGCTATAAAGCAATGTTGCCCCAAAAACCTCAAAACAACCAAGCCAAAACAAACAAAAAACTAACCTCTAGATCCAATTACCAATTTATAGGAAATAGAAACAACAGAAGAACGCGTAAAACTAGACCATGGAGAATATAATCTGCAAAATCTTGGCAGTGGGAAACGCTACAGGACAAACAACCTGATCCCTTCAACAAATAAGTTACAAGGGAGAAAAAAAGATGAAGGGAAAACTAAAGAGACTTAAAAGACATATTAATCAATTCCAATTTGTGAACCTTATTTGGATCCTGATTTAAACAAATAAAAACTAATAAAACTATTTATGACAGTTTATGAATCCACTGAAAATATGTACACCAACTGGTATGCTAAGAGTCCAGCTGGATGCAGTGACACACACCTGTAGTCAGTCCCCTCTACTCAGGAGCCTGAGACAGGAGGATCACTTGAGGCCAGAGGCTGCAATGTGCTAAGATTGTGCCTGTGAATAGCCACTGCACTCAAACCTGGGCAACACAGCAAGACTCCCTTCTCTAAAACATAAAAATACATTTTTTAAAATAGTTCATATCTTGGCCGGGCATGGTGGCTCATGCCTGTAATTCCAGCACTCTGGGAGGCTGAGGTGGGTGGATCACGAGATCAAGAGATCAAGACCATCCTGGCCAACCTGGTGAAATCCCGTCTCTACTAAAAATACAAAAATTAGCCCAGCATGGTGGTGTAGTCCCAGCTACTCAGGAGGCTGAGGCAGAAGAATCACTTGAACCCAGGAGGGGTAGGTTGCAGTGAGCTGAGATTGCGCCACTGCACTCCAGCCTGGCAACAGAGTGAGACTCTGTTTCAAAAAAAAAAAAAAAGTCCGTATCTTTTAAAGCTACATACTAGAATATTGACAGATGAAATAATGTTATCTGGGATTTCTTTCAAAATAGGGCAGGGGTTACGGGGTGAAGTGGATAGGATACATACAGAACAAGAGTAGCCATGAGCTGGCAATTATTGAAGTTCATGCTACAGAACCCTATCTTACTTCTGTATATATTTACACTCTTTCCACCAAAAAAAGAAGGCTGAATACAGACTTAACATCCCAGTGCAAGAAAGTCCCTGCACACACAAACATAGCCCATAGTCCAGCTATCCAGAGGTGTCTATGCTGTTCCACTGCCGCACTAAGCCATGCACCCTCCAGTCTACTAGACTTTGCATGGGTACTACTCTCCATCCAAAGGATATCCTCATCATCCCGATCTGTCTACCATCTTCCCCATCTCCAGCTATGGAAGTCCTACTGGTCCCTCAAGGCCCAGCTTAAGTCATACCTGCTTGGCAAGGTTTCCCCACATTCCCTTCCCTGTTTAATCCATGAACTGCCTCTCTGCCATTACTTTTAATGGCAAAAAACACAATTACATTTACAGCAACCCAATAAAGCTGACTGTCCAGCTATAAAATATAGCTGACTGTCCAGGTATATTTTCAGCTACTAGAGGGCAAAAACCATATATGATCTCTTTATTCCCAACTATGACTTGCCTGTTGAACACAATTAAGTATTGCTGCATAAAATAGAACTGATTTATGTCATTACCTAAAATAACTCCTCAAAAAATTTAATTGATTAAATAAGAACTTTAAAAATATATATTTTGTTTGTTGAAATAGGTAACGTATTCAATCCATAAGTATTAAAAACACAGTGAGGAGCCCCTTCATACCCTATCTGCCCGGTTCACTTCTCTCCCAACATGTAACTGCTCATTAGTTTTTTGTTTACCTTTCCAAGAGATTTTTAAATGCATATTCAAGTCAATATACATTCTTTCTTCCTCCTCTACAAAGATGTGTAGCATAACATACATACTGCTAAATACCTTGCCTTTCTTTTTTTACCTAGTACCTTGAAAATTTTGTATAGTAACATATATGTAAAGAAGGCCCTTGTTTTTATTTTTTTTTTTCCAGTTGCGGTTTTCCACTGTATAGGATGTTTTGTCATCTTTAACCAGAACCCTCTTGGTGGGCAGTTCATCTGTTTCTTATCCTTTACTATTAAAAGCAGTGGCACAAGAAGTGAAACTACGCATACGTCATTTCACGTACGTTTCAATACGTCTGTGGTGCAGCTCCTTATTTCTCATATTATGTATTTGTGCTGTTCTTCTTGACCAGGTAAGCCTCTGATTTTCTTTATTAATTATCTATATACTGCTTTTTAACTCATTAAATGTAATTTTTACCAACATTAATTCCTTCCTTCTGCTTTCCTTCAGTGTAATTTATTGTTCTTTTTCTAACTTCTTAAATTAGTCCCACGATGTACAAGATGAATCACAACAGTCTGCATCCTAATTCAGGAGTCCTGAGCAGGTCCCAGTCCCTTGATGCCACTACGTCACCAGGACACATAAACAAAGATGAACAAGCCCAAATGGACAAGTAGTCCATAAAAGTTAAGCTAAAAAGAAAATAGGTCCAGCCCCTCCCTCTTGTACAAACATGATTTTCCCATCCAAGTTCAGAATTTTTAAAACCTTACTGGTTTCTTTAATTTTTCTCATTGCAATAGGATATTATATTAAACATATGTAATACAATTTCTGAAATGCTTTGAATGCATAAAATTCAAAGTACCAGCTGCCATCAGTGGGTGCTACTACTTACAGAAATAAATCAAGAACAAATCCCTGCTGTTGTTTAAAGCATATCAAGTACTTGAAATCTTTACTGAAAGAATATTTCATAAGTACAGTCACATGCTGCATGATGATGTTTCAGTTAACAGTGGATGGCATGTACAACTGTGGTCCCATGAGATAATACTGTATTTTTACTGTACATTTTCTTTGTTTAGATACACAACTACTTAGCACTGTGTTACAACTGCCTGCAGTATTCAGTATAGTAATATACTGTACAGGTCTGTAGCCTAGGTATGTATTAGGCTATACCAAGTAGGTTTGCGTAAGTTCACACAGTGACGTTCGCACAACAACGAAATCTCCTAATGACGCATTTCTCAGAATATGTCCCCATTGCTAAATGACTCATGACTGTAGTGTCTACTTTAAAACTCATGCCATGTAGACTTTCAGAAGGGCAAGAGTTGGAGAAAGAAGGAAGGAAACACACTGAACATCTGCTATGTGCTAGGCACAGTGCTAAAAATGCTTTCCCTTACATTTTTAATTAAAATCAATCTGGATGGGCTTTTCTGATTTTAGGATAAAAAGTTTGTTTGTTATGTTTTATTATATTGTAAATCAACAAAGAATGCAGTGGAAATATATTTTTGCGGACAAAGTAAATATCAATTCCACTATAAAGAAAAGCATTAATTTCTGCAGTATGTTTATTAATTGTTTTCTAGGACAGAGGTTATAGGCAATAACGATGAAGGAACCAGCTAGAGGAAGCCAGACCTCTTCAATCCTGACTTCTCCACCAAAACACAAATCCTTCCATCTTCCTAAAGGTAACCGTCCAACTCAACATCACATTGCCAAGTGCATTCACTTTAGCAAGGCTGCGGTTCTCTCAGCCTCCAGAACTATCCTCCTTGGTTCGAATCCCAGCCCTACCACAGAATTAGTTCTGAAACATCAGACACCTTAACTGACTGCCCCCTGTGGCAGTTTCCTTTTCTGTAAAATGGCAAAATGATATAGTCCATACCTCATACGGTCATGATGAAGACAAAATACAATCAGAGCAAAGCCTGATATATACCAAGGTCTTGATAGGCAACAGAAATGCCAAGTTCACTCTAGCTGATCACCCTGCTTATTCCTACATCCACACTTCTGCTGAAGCTGTTCTGCCTCAACACTTCCTTGCCCTTTCCTCCATCAAAACTGTCAAGGTCATTCAAGGACAACTTCAGGTCTCAACTCGTCCACTTTCTATGTAACCTTCCTAGCCCTGAACTGTATGTCTGAGAGTCAGAGAACCATCTGGCATCCGAACGTCTTCAATTTAGCACTCTAACGTGCAGAGGAGACTGCATCCCAATCTCAGTACGTCTAACTCTTATTCCAGTTGTGTTAAAGGCTCCTTGGGGATTATGAGTTCACATCTTTACATGCTCCAGCTCTGGAAAAACATAAAGCCGAATTTCTACCTCATTCTTTTATATGAACATTCAAGATGGAAAAAAAAGTGAAAGTAAAAAACAAAATTGTAAATGTTCTAGGAAAAAAACAGAGATGAATATTCTTGTAGTCCTAGAGTGAAGAAGGCTTTTCTAAGCATGGGATAAAACTCTGAAGCTGAGAAAGAAAGAATTTAGTAATTTTGACTGAGGTGAGAAAGAATTTAGTAGTTTTTAAAAGTTTACACTTCCATATGATGAAAATACTATAAGCAAAATTATAAGACAAAAAGCAAACTGGGAAAACGTAATTGCTGCACATATTACAAAGGGTTACTATCCTTATACACAGGGATTGCTCCCATTATTGCACAGTGCAGTGCATGGTACTGTACACCGCCTCATAAGTATGGCTTTATTCAGTGGGTCCTTCACAGCTGGTGGGGCCCAAGGTTCTGGCCGGGTCTGGCGCATGCCTGGTTGCCTCTCTGTCATCAGCCTGCTCACTATACTAGGGCTAGATAATCTGCAGGTCAATTTCACC